AGATTTTTTACATTTTTCCATACTCTTTCATACAGTATAGTTAATGATTCGCACATGCTAATAAAAAGAAGTTCTATTGCTTTTTATATTTGAACAGAGGAAGCAGTATATACTGTAACTTTTAGACAGAAAATGGAGATGCATCCTTGCAGATGTGTCAAAATACTTTTTGTCTTTGTGCTTATCTACTTCAGTCTTTCAAAAACAAATAGACTAACATACCATGACCTGTACTCAATTGTGTCCATCCCGTGATTTTTAAATTAATGTTAAAACCCCTGCAAAATACAGAATACTTCACAAAATAAAGCGCTCAGCTTGCTACCAGAATAGATGTCCTGGACACATGCCTGGTCCTTGCATATGTGTCTCCATAAAGACTGTGACTGCAACTCCCCAAGCACAATACACCATTATCAGACATGTTAAAAGATGACTGGCTTAGAGATAGGGCACATCTGCCTACAGCACATGTCCTCATGCTCTCCCTGTGTGCGGAGGCAGGGTTTGTAACTGAGACATGATAAACACACAAATGGCCGGCTCTGACAGATCAGGCTCTGTGCCGGCTTAAAAACATTAACCGTGGACCGTGGACCGCGCAGGTCAGTTCTGAGCGGCTGATGGAGACAGATCACCGCAGAGCCTTCATCAGCCTGTCATGTACCTGGGTGTGTGATAATATTGGTGTGGGCTGCTGTAGCTCTCCGGTCACTGGCTGGCTGCATTAGACCAACGGGAATTAAAACTTTACCCGAAGAAACACCACTTCCTCTAACAGGAGACACAGCTTCCTGGACACGAAGAAACAGTCTTACTGTGTAACGATCTCACGTGGAAAAGCTGAGGTTAAATTCAGGAAGGTATTCTTTTTAGTAAATCTTCAAAGTGTCCATCACTTTAGGAATCTAGAAATAATCCTGAAAAATTACTTAATAAATAATAATAGTAAAATGAATAAAGGTAAAGCTATGGACACTTTAAAATAAAAGCCCGGGGGCTTTTGGATGTTTCTGTAACAGACTGCTAGAGAGCCACCTGCACCACAGCTCCTCCACTGCTTTGAACAGCCTAATTCCTAACATTTTTAAAGAAAACAAAGCAAAAAAAGAATTTTCCGAAACAGTACAGGAGGGCTTTTGTTGGCCTCTAGACTTCTGCAGTAGCCTTCCTCGTGGCTGCAGGGCTTGGACCCAGCTCCTGTTGGCAGACAGTACCCGCTGCTGCTCCCTTGCAGCTGTGAATCTGCGTTTCAGACGAGCCCCGAGCTTCGATGCCGAGCTCCAGCACGCTGTTGGCACCTCCTGTGGCACTGGGTTCCATGCCAGCCAGCCAGCAAGCGCTCTGCAGGGCACTTTAATAGGAACTCCCACAGGGAAGCGGCACAGACTTGGGCTTGGAACAGGACCCACTTGTACTGTATGTGGTTCAAACCAAGACCCTGTGAGCTGAATCGAGCTGCACAAAATCACAAGTGGTACTGTATAATGCCACCATCTCTTACCCAGGGGAGCTTCTAAAATAGGTCTTTAAAAACAGGCACAAATTATCCAGTGGCTTTTAATATAGAGACAGAAGACAAATCTTAATTAAGACTCCTGAATCACTGAATTGTGGGATTTCTCTTCCATAGATACAGTAGTTCTAACCACAAAATGGGCAGTTCAGTTAAGAAGCTGTATTGAAATTGATGCATAAACTACACTTTGACCAGTATAATACAGATACGTATACAGATGGTCTAGCAATGCAGATGCAACATGTATTGTGAGCACATCAAGGGAAAGGTTAAGAGCACACTGTCAAATTTCTTCCAATATTTCTTAACCTTACTCTTCTGAACTCAAATATATGTAATTCCTTTAGAGTTTCATAAGCAAATGAAGACATGTCAGCACTCAGCTCATATGTGCTGAAGAGGTAACGCACTCTCTGCTCCCACAATGCCTTTCTCTGGGATATCAGTTGACATTCCCGCCTTTCCCTCCTTCACACACTGCCTTGCACCCAAGTTAAAAGCGATTTTGCCAAATTAAATGGGTCCTGTCCCCTGAAGTTAGCTGCATAAGTAAGCCTCACCTCCACATGAAAATGAATTCCTACATGCACGATGCACATCCTAGGCCACAAGAGAAACGTGCCAGCAAAATGTCAGACTCAATTACGTTTTTATCGACGCTGTTAAAAAACACGAGCTAGAAAACACAGGGAGCTTGGTACCTAAAGCCACCTGCAGCCTAGGGGGGAAACAGATGAGTTAATATTTCAGAAAAACACCTCATAGCCTTTGAAACTGCTAGCTGAGCCACACTAACAACCATTTCAGTAGAATTAACCTTCTATGTCTTAGGAAAGGAAGAGGTCCACTTAAGTAAAGTGATATATTATGCCTCTTCCATGTTTATTTTTAAAATGTTGCATCTGCATAACACAAATGTCACAGGGTAACACGGACCTTAACATGATTGTGCCTGTTGTATTTCTTTAGTGGGTCTGTATTATATTTTCAAGAAGAAAAAAAAACTCTCAGAAATATGAATGCAAAATAAACGAATTCATCACTTGAAGAAATGATTGAACACTTTCTTTTCTTTAAAACCCACAGTACAAAGGCCTATTAAGCTGTGTACTCAGAGTGGGTGAAATCACTCCTTGATCACTGCTCTGAAAGCAATAAGCACATTGACCAACTTAAATAAAATGCAAAAGTATATTTTTCCACAAAGATTACACAGATTATGGAATCAAACATCTCTAAGCATCGTATCTTGTGAAAGATCATTTTTTTTACAGACCATGATAGAAACACTACATCATGGAGCCCTTTTGGTCTAAATTGCTTGACTGGCCTCTGGGAGATTAATGATCCAAGAGTTACATTAAGCTGTTCTTGAAGGACACTCCAGAAATGTCTGTTAACATTATGAAGGGATGGGCTGTTTCCAGTCAGCTTCTGGGACCCTTGCAATTATCCAGAACTTCAATATGTTTTGCAATAATAAACTCAAACCAATGTTAGAATGTTAGGACTTAAAAGCATATACATTAAATTCATGGATGTAATATTAAAATCGTGCACAGCATTAGTTAAGACTTCATTTAGAAGATTGTTAGTAATAATATATTTCTGTAATAAACAGGACATGCTGTGTTGTTAAATAAGGGCAATCTGGCGCAGGTTAAAAGAACTGATTCTTTGCAGACTTGGAACAGACAAGATACAAGCACACTTCAAGGACTGAAAATCTTTCAAGAATTCACAGAATCGATCCATCTGACTTCTTCCGCATAAACTGAGAACGAAAGTCTGTCCTACTGACATGCTAGAATTACAGATTCTTTTTAGTCTTTATAAAAAAATGACAAGGGTGTCAAATTATCTAAGGTGCTGAAAAAGTCAACCCAGCGGACTTCTTCAGAATCAAGGATGAGACACAAACTAGGGGACACAAGAAGAAACAATGGGAATAAAGGAACAAACCTGAGGACAAGAGGCACATTTTTACACAGAGAGGAGTAGGAGTGTGGAACAATGTAACTAGCCATGTTGTCAGAATGGCAGAAGAAAGGATCTGGAGACGATCCTAGGGTCAATGAGCACCTTGCAACCAAATGAGCGACATGACCAGAATTGGCATCTCTGATTTATAGTCTTTGTTAGGTACAGTAATACAGAACACATGAACAGGCTAGGTAATACATATGACTGTATACATGGAATTCGCCAAAGTCAAAAGGCACACAAACTTGCTATAATTTCTATTATATTAATATATTTTATATTAAAAGGTACAAGCATCAGAGTCAATTAATTTAGAATTATTCCATCACAGTGTAGATGGATATTAAAAGGGCAGGGACAGCTAAACCTAAATGCATTTGAATTACACAGGGTTGACTAGGAAGGAATCTCAGTTGTATCCAATCAGAGGAAGAATTCTCAGAAAGAAAATAAGCTACAGCCAACAGCAGTGTGAGCTCAAACTCCAACATGTGCCGAGACACTTAATTGAAAAGCTCTGGGCCTCTGCTCTGTTTCCATTCACCTTTGATTGATGTTGCAGATAAAGTCTTAGTTGTTAAACAGGAAAAGAAAAATAAAGAAAAAAGAAACGGAGTGGAAAAGTAAAAGGGCAGCGCCAGTCAATACACCTGAAAGTATTTAATCTCAGCTGACCCAGGTGAGCACCTAACTGGCCCTGCTCATTGTGAGAGGAGGGCCTCACTGTCCTCACTGATACAAACGGGGTGTGTGTAGATAATTAAGTGCAGCTGTCGTCTAAGCCTCATTAATGGTTTGTGGGGCACACCAGACGGAAACGCGCAAGAAAATCTGCACACCTAATTTTCTGATTGCCTTAGGCTGATCAAGTAACTTGGCAAAATGTTTACCATTATACTAAAAAGAGCTATGTATGAGCAAACCTCTTCAAAAAGCATACAGTACATGTGAACTCTAAGTAGATGTATCTATATTGTATCTAGTTGTATCTTGCGTATACATATACAGTACTACATCATGCATATCGTATAGTTGTCTCTATACAACTGTATCCATAAAAAAATATCATAACACAATCCAGGAAAACTACACCACCGCTTTATGAAACATCCAGCAGGTTACAGGGAAGCCGAATCCTATCCCAGCAAGCAATGGAGAGAAGGCAGGACACACCCTGGGCATGACGTCAGGCATACACACACTCACACCAGGACCAATTTTTCCCAGAAGCCAATGAACCCACCAGAATGGCTTTGGACTGCGGGAGGAAACCGGCGCACCAGGAGGAGACCCACGCGAACACAGAGAGAACATGCAAACTCCACACAGACAGCACCCCAGGTCTGGAGCTGGTCCCAGGGCCCCAGTGCTCCGATGCAGCAATGCTGACCACTGCGTCGCCGTGCCGCCCCTTTCCATGAAACAGTCCTATCAAAATGGTTAACCATCCTTCTGAGCAGCAGTTCGCCGGCCGCCGACACACTGATACATGACTTACTGTTGAGGAATGGGCTGCTGCTTCACTGCCAGGGTCATCTGGGCCGCAGAGCTGGCCGGGAGGCCCTGGGCCGGGCCGCGGGGGGAGGCCTGCTGGGGAATCGGTCTCTGCGGTACCACGGCGTTGTGGCCGTTGCCGGACATGGTGGGGGTTGAAGGCAGGGTCTTCTGCTCGCAGGCTTTCCCCTTTGTTCCTGGTTTGCAGACGCAGAGCTGAGGCCGTAGACACATTCCTCCGTTCTGGCACGGTGGCACGCAGTTCGCTGCAACACAAACCGGAGCCGTGAGGGTGTGTGAGTGAGTCTGGGCTCGGGACAGCTAGCGCCCTGCCCTGCCCTGCCCTGGCCTTCGAGAACGGGTCCCTCCCTGCCGGGTCCAGGCAGGTCTGCTTTAAAACCGCTTGCTAAATAAGCTCTGTGAACAGACTAGAAAGGGCAGGGAGAATGACCACTGAATCTCCAGGAGGTTATTTGGAAGACAAGGAAGAAAAGAAAACATACTGTATGGAGAGCCCAACCGTTTACCAATGGTACAATCCTGGAATTAACAGATACTTCAGTGTTTTTGTTTCAATAACTTAGGTGGAAGCTATTAATTCTAGCTTGTTTTCCTATAATTCTATTGATAACCTGCAATGCACTGACACTTAGCAAACCAGAATGATTTAGCTATCTTACAAGTAATGCTGTTGTAGAAAGGGGTGAAATATTGTGTTCTTAAGGGCTGAGAGCATTACCACAGCCTAGAAGGGATGATTCTGTACACATGAAATGCATTCAAAATCAACAAATGTGTTTTGGAACTAATAGGATTCTTGCATTTTTATGCCTAGCTATATAAGAGATATAACCTGCTATGGTTCTTCTGTCAAAAATAGTATTGCTCTCTTCGACATCATTAGTAGCCAATAAAAATACCTTCTCTGTGGTTCCCTGCATAGCGAATGACTCCCTCTTCCAATTCGTAGTCTGACAGTAATTTACTAGAACATGCTCTGCAATCAATTACACTGCTCCTGCACCAATGACATCATGTGTAATAGGTTACAGCATCAGAGAGTGGACTCTGAAGTCTTGGATTTTACAGCAGTCTGGCAGGTAGCCTGTAATTACAGCGGTCTCAGCTCAGCTCATGCTGGGGTTGCCATTCTTCAACAACAAAGCTAGCCTCACGGGTACGTGGTCCAAAACACAAATTTACTTCAGCTCCCTGTTTTGAAGTCTCCTGTTCATTTCCTCTGTCCTCTGGATAGGAAACAGTGAGATACAGTGAAACATTTGTCAATGCCATGAGCTGGGAGACCCTTAGTAATACTGTGTGCATCATATCCCTTTTTGTACACAACTCAAATGTCAGTGACTCAGGAATGCTGGGGGCTATGCAAGCACAAACTGTTTCCAACTTTCCCTGAACTTTTTCCTTTGGTTTTACCAACTGCGAAGCCAATTGAATATGAAGACAGAAAATACATCCTTTGAGATGGTGTGATCGAGGTAACGTCAGTTCATGAAATGTGTCCACAACAGGGCCAAATGAAAAAAGATCCTTACAAAAGGAAGGCGAAAAAACATACAAGCATAAAATGATACTAGTATAAAAGTATATAAAGCTATTAATTATTAATAAAAATACCTTCAATTAATTAATGACAGGGGGCTTTGGGGTAACTGGAATAATCATGGAAGAACTGATTAAAAGAATTACATAAATCCAGGAACTGAATTATAATTATTAAAGGAAATATGAATGCTTTTTTTCCCCCAGAACACTCTATTCCTCTATTCAAACTGCTTCAGCCAATTTAGGGTCACAGGGGTGGCGGAGCCTATCCCAGCAAGCAACAGCCACAAGGCAGGATATACCCCAAACTCACATAGATACTCACATCAGGGCCAATTCTCCCAGAGGCCACTTAACCTACTAGGATGGACTGTGGGAGGAGACCCACACAAACACGGGAGAACGTGCAAACTCCACACAGACAGCACCCCAGGTCCAGCACTGAACCCAGAGCCCCAGTGCATGCCACCCCCAGAACAGTTTAGGAAAACAGAAGTTACATTATCATTCCATGTGTAAGGCAAGAATACGATACAGTTACTACATCTGGAAAGTGCAGATGTTTCTGTTACCAAGAAGCAGCCTGCAAATGAGGCAGAAACATAGTCTTATGGAATGAGCCGCTGGATTTATCACCTCTTAGTAAGACGCTGCCTTTTGATTAGAGGATTATTAGGAATTCTTATCAGCTTCAGATCTGCCATTCCTGTTGAAATGAGCAAACCCCAGTGATACATGAAAGAAGCACAGCCAGCTCCTGAGTGAGATGTCAATGATAATGTCTCTTATCGCACACCTGCTCTGCATTCCCTCTCTATACACGCCTCACCTCACCACAAGCATGCCCATCAGTCCTGCAGACTCACAGCTGAGCAAACATGCTGGCTTTATCTGACACCAGTCTGAAGGGCTCCTGCTCTGCTCTGCACTGAAAATATTTCAAGGCTTCAGAATTTCAGAGGGACTTATTTTTGTTTGGTCTGGTTTGGCGGACACATCGAACTGTGCGTGCAGCCAGAACGTGTTCTGGACGTTACTGTAAGGAGTGCATTTGAAACACGATGCTTTGATTCTTGGAGGTTTTAAAATGAATCCATCTGCCTCTGTATAGAGTAGAGTACAGAACCTCCTCTCAAAAAAAAAAAAGCCCTCTCACCCAATCCAGACAAGCCGTCATTACTGGGAACACTCACCCCATGCCTCAACCTTTGCCCTGTTGCCCAGTTCGCTTCAAAACAGTTCAGACCATCCCCGATGTGCTGTTAAATCTCAAACCTACACACCACTCCTAACCCACTCACTGTCAAGACCAGCACCCTTGAAGATTCAACTGAAAAAATGGTAAAAAATTATTGTGTGGGGAAACATGTCAAAAGCATCTTCATAGAACATTATTTGTAGGGAATTCCTTAGCAATTTAAAGGTAATAAATTATATTATAGTAAGAAAGAATCAGATAGCGTATAAGACAAGGTTTACGTAAGAAATTCAGACTATTCTATAGTCACCCACTATTTCTAAGGCATTAAACAGCCATCGTTTCACAATTAGAAAATACTGGTTTGAGAACAAATACTGTACATTCTGAGTGCAAATACAGCAGTTTGACTACAGCAGACGAAAAGTGCTTTGAAGTTGCGCTTTCAGAATGTGGCTTTGTACTGTATATTTCAGAATGCACAGATTATCAGGTTGCACATGGGAATATTTCTCTACCCTGATACTAAATAAACACAGCGGTTCATATTTTTTATACCATGAATCCAAAAAAAGCACACAGATCGTTAGACATGCTATTCTGCATTTGGCGCAGCCCTCTGAGCAGAAAGAAATGCATGGTATGTGTGTGGACAAAAACACACAGACACTAAACACTTCTGAAGTCTTGGAGTGAGAAAATGTTTCGGATTAAGGGGCTGGGATCTAGCGATGGTCTCTACCACCAGCAGGCAACGACACTCCTCACAAAACGCAAACAGGAGAGAAAAGACAGCCAGCAGATAACCTGGCTTTGTATACAATGTGCACTGTAATGGTTGCTTGTCTGTCAAGACAGCAAGGCGGATAAAATGGGGGTGTACAGTATATCTGCCCGCGGTTTACCAATCAGCGACCTCTGAGTAGCGTGTTCATCATTGTTCTCCAAAAAAATGCAGGTCAGTGCTTAAGAATCTTCACGTCCAAGCAGTGTTACTCTCCTATTTCCTCACCGCATGTATACCTCCATCAGATACAGTACAGTCATGACTCTCCTCTCACTTCTTAAAAGTACAAATACTGCTGAGCACCCCAAAGGCTTTTAATCTTTGACTGTTCTGTGGTTTAAAGACTCTTGCGATCTTTGAAGAAAAACAGAACATTGCAAGAATTTTACCATATCTGAGTGCTTTAAGAATTCATGCAGTTTCCAAGTTCTGCACACTACAAAACAATTTGCCATTACCTATTTGGCCCTCTGGGGAAGGAAAATAAGTTTTCAATGGCTCTTCAGCTCTGCAATGCAGTGACTTTAAAAGCAGCAGAGATATTTTCATGTCCTGTTTTGTCTAGCCGTGATGTCTGCATTCGGTCAGGCTTTTGATGGGATCAGACTGGGAATATTTTCAACTCAAGTGATTCCCTCCAGTTAAACACGGCACACATTTTCTTCACTCAGATAAAACACACACTTTATCTGAGATTCTCAAAAGCATGCTCTGACAGTCACAAATCAACAATGTTATGTTAATCAACAGACTTTTTTTTCCAACACTACTCAGATTGTATTGGATTTTCCAATTTTTTCTCAATGGGACATAAATCTACAATTTTGTGGGCTAAAAACAAGTCTGAAAGCATTAACAACCTTCTGGCAACCAGATCCCATCAACTATCATCTGTTTTCTTTCAGCACTGCACAGAAAACAGAGCTAATTAACCATTCTTTTAAAGAACTAGGCTTCAAAACTGAGAAGCATTAAAGCCTAAAGCGCTCTGTACACATCATTCATCAGAAAAAATAACTCTTTTCACCACCTTCACTGTCAGACAGACAATATCTTTAGACACAAAGGAATTACCGGACAATTAGCAGTGAATAAGCTCATTACCACCAAAAAACAATCACTGCTTTTCAGGACATCCCTCTCTGACATATTTTACTAATTAATTATCTTTTAGATAAAATCCCTGGAGTACTTTAAATACCTACAGTTTTTCCACTTATATTGCACAATATGTGGCGGATGCTTCTTGTGTTGCATGTCCAGCTGGTCATTCTTTAAAAGAGAACAGCTTTTAAAGTTCCTGGTTTAAACCTGAGCTAAATTAAAAATCACACTGATTGACACACTGAAAGGGCCCTTTATGTACAGCTTAACTCCGCTACGAGTAAAGCTGTGCCAGTATAAGCAGAGTTTTTTTTTCTGTTAAGGACCCTTTTGTTTGGCATTTTTAAGGAGGGAGGGGTAGATTCTGCTAAACATTAGTGAGCAAATGAGACCATAGACTCTACTGTGAACAGATGGGACAATTGAGCTACATTATATCTGAGAACACTGCAGCAGAAGCAGAGAAGAAATAAGATACGTGCCTTCATATATGTAGGAATCAGTGTAATAGTTAAGATCCACGAACTCACCAGACGTAAAAACACCTCAGTATGAACGGGGCAACACAGAACTGTAGACGAAATCCAACCTGACAGCTGTGGTCCTGTCAGGCTCCTTTCCTGATTGCTGTTACAACACAATTTCAACTGTGAGCGGAAACAAAACACTGAACCAGGCCACTGAACTGCTCAAGGATTATTTATCTAGAGCACGCTAAATAGTCATCCACTTCCACGTGCCGCATGAAACCACAAACTGTGAGTCAAAGGGAATTAAAAGCGCCCTACCGAAAATAAAGACAGTCGCCAGAGGAATTTGGACCTGGTTCATTCCCAATGCCCAAAGACACTTCCTTGTCTGTGTGAAGAAGATCTTTGACTGAGGACCTGCCTGCCTGGGCTAACTCTTCCTCTGTCCCCCCAGCACCTACTGCACAGAGAATGATCTGCAAACCATGACACTGGGGACCCAGAAAGATAAAACTGGGGGCAGCATCTCAGAGAAATCTGGCTTCCTGGAAGGGCTTCCTGGATCTAGAGGATGGTGAGAAGACTGTTCACATTGTAGGCCAACGATGGGCATGGAAATGTCCGGACAGAAAGATGCAGGAAACAACTATGACAGATCAGTGGGACATACTGTCGAGAGCTTGAAACAAGACAGGCCAAGACACGCATGTGCTGTTTCGGAGAGGGTTAATCCTCTGGGTAAGGAGTGCATAATAGGCAGGTATGGTAAAATATTATCTTCAGCACAACAGAGATACTGTATTAATATGCACTTCATTTTTTGGACACCTGAAAGGGCTAGCTCTTTCCTGAGACCTAATCATGACTTCACTGCTGTGCACAGATCAGTCAGACTCAATTTTAGGAACTCTCCTTTTTTTGGTCCCGATTTTTATGTAATACTGAAGAGCTGCAGCGAAGAAAAATTACCACATTTTAAGCTGCAGTTAAATGCAATCAGCAGTCTTGTGGCTTGCCTATAAAAATGTCTGTTAGTGGATCTGCCGTGGATGTGCTCCCTGACTTTGTGCTCTGGGCCTGACTTTGTGCGACAGGCTCCGGGTGGGATAAACTGGTTTGAAATGGAGGGATGGTATGGGTCTCAGGTCACGCAACACTGTAAAACCGGTCCATCGTAAGAGCAAATGGATTCGACTGAATTCTTAAAACCTTTCGAGGTTGTTGGCATAATAATAATCTCATCCCCCCCCCGCCCTCCACTGGACCCTGTGCAGTGTCCGCAGGGCCGTGGTCACCCAGTGTGAACAAGGACAGCCGCTCGATTCCATACTCACGCTTGGTGCACCTCAGCGAGCCGGGCCCCTTGCTCCAGCCGTGACAGCACTGCCCTCCACAGACATTCACACTGTAACAACACCCGGAGAACACATTATCGCACAGGGCGACAGCCGTGACACGGGTCACCTCCACCGCGGGCACTGGGACACTTTCACTGATCCGTTACTGAACGCCCACCAGATCAACGCTCCGTTTCGTTTCAGCAGGCAGTTTCACTGCAGTGAATCAAGGAATTCATTTAAACACTTTCGCCGTCTGGGCTGGAGTCTCAAGCCCAGAGAGCTTCAGTACACAGCTGGGTACTTTTTGATCATTGTTGGATACAATTCTTTGGGTTATGCATACAAATATGCATTTTACATCAAAATCCGTACAAAAAAAGTAAGAATGTATAGTCTAAGGCGGATTCTAGAGGGCAAGAGTGTGTATAGTCATTGCAATTGTGCATCATTGTTGGATTACATTTATTTTGCTTGACCGCTTTTAATTTTATGTCAACGCATTATGATCACATTTGCCCCCAGTGCCTGGAATATAAAATCATTCATCAACATCTTATGAGTGAAACTATCCCATTCTAAACCTGCCAAACATGATGTCATGCAACAGGTACCGTTTGGGAACCTTACTGCTTTGTTAGAAGTAATTAAAATTAAAAACGGTATTATCAACACACTACCGTTCTTCCGTAAAATCAGAATGGAAAGCGACGTAAAACACCTCATCGGGTGACTTAGCCAACTTTTAACTCTGGGAAACTTTCTAAGAAATTCTTCCCGGTTCTTGACAAATTCCTGCTCGTCCCACCAGTGAACTCCGGAGAGGTCACGCTCCCCGGCGGGGGGCGGGCTCCCAATTTCCAGACAGACCTGCGGCCGTGCAAAAGGCACGTCTCTGTGCCCCCTTTTTCTCGCGTCGGAAAGCTCCGCGACTCCCCCCAAATGCTTTTACAGATTACGCACGAAGCGGCGCATCATCGCGCCGGCTTTCCCGGTGCGTGTCGAGGCTGGGAAGTTGGTAACGGCGCCGGGTCTGAGCCGAAAGCGAGACCCCCGCTTTGTCTTACCCCGATATTTGGATTTGGTGGCCCTGGTGGACAGCGGGAATGGCGCTGTGGCTTGCATGCCGGGGCTGCTGCGTGAACTGAGGCTGCTGTCGGAGCAGCCCGCTGGGGCTCGCCTGGTTTCCCATTCTGCGCGTCCGGACTTGGCCGCCGAAGTTGGCCGTCACTTCCACGTTATAAGAGCGCCGCTGCCCGACACCGTCTGTCCGCGAAACCGAGCTCACTCTGTCCGGGCCCCTCTGTCCTGGCTGCAGCACGTAGGTGGTGTATCTCCTCAACTCGCCCTTGTCTGTGGAGGTGAACGCCGGTGAAATAAATAAACCTATAGAAAGCAGAATGTTCCATCTAACCCAAGCCATTTCCACGAGTTTCCTTCAGGACTTTGAAATCTGTGAAGCAGTTAGGAATTCCTTGAGAAAGATCCTTTATGCTGGCCTCCCCCAAAAAAGTACTGGAATCCGTGTAATATATATATATATTTTAAAAAAATACCTCTGAAAAAAAGATTTAGCTTTATGTCTTTTAACGCAAGCAAAAATATTCTTTATCTGTTTCCCTGAGGGTATACATTGATATTCAGCGCCCTTGACAGACTACCAAATTACTCCAAAATAAAATACAAAATATAAAGGAAAAAAAAAAGATTTTACGGATATAAAACTAAATAAAGCTCGTCTTATCACAAAGAGGGACAGGGGGAGGTGAGCAGCAGATGTTAATAGCCGCTCTGGCTGGGTCTGCGTAATACTTGAGCCTTAAGATCACATTGAAAAGTCTTTAAAAAGTTTCACTGTGTCAGGGCTGGAGTCTGTCAGTGCTCAACAGCCAATCCCCGGCAGACATGACGTCATGGACAGCAGTCTTATTGGAACAGGGGAGCAGGGCTGAGCCCCCGAATTTAACAGCAGGACGGACTGAGCTCCTAGCAACAGCAATAATAATAGTGAATTTTAATAATGATGTATTGACCCAAGTTATCGATAGGAACATCCACGCGGCGTTGTAAAGGCAGTATTTTCAGATGTAATTCCATTATCAGAAGCAGAATCGCTTTTATTCGCCGGTACGAGTCGGGTAGGGGAATGTGCCTTGGTGCATTTGCAACCTGCTCAACACAAAACCCACACAGGTGCAAAAGGAGCCTTAACATTACTGACATAGTTGCATTGGACAACATGCGAAGGATGGGGGAGTCACAACACCTTCACAATCTGTGTTCACGGCACGGAACATGTAGACAATACAGTACAGCATACAGTATATTATGAGACACAGGCACATTCATATTTTACAATACAGTGCGAATATACGAACAATAGACTTTGCAGGCAAGTTCAGACCATGTGCGAAAGAACGGTCTGAGGAGTAAGGTAAATATGTTTATGGATTTGTAAACATATCTACCCATTCTTGACAAAACGTCCATATCGACAGGTTCTAAAAGCTACTTACAGTTACAAATCCAAATACTAAAAGCAAAAAACGCAACTTTCGTTCACACTGAAACAACTGGATGTGACTGGATGTTGATTGTGCTGCTGCTGCTGATGTTGTTGATTGTTGTTGTTTACACTGCAAACACAACCGTCTCAAAATAATTAGTTCTACTGATGCATGCGGCTTTTCAAGGCCGGGTCGGAGCCCACGAAGTGCGGTACATTAATTACGGCCGGGGTTAGGAGAGGGAAAGTGGGGGGCAGTCACACAGCCCACGATTACTCGGGAAGCGCTGCTGGCTTGTTTCAAGATCGGGATCAGAGGGCCTTCGACACCGCCGCAAGCAGTCAGCTGAGAGAGGCGACTTCGTTTTCTGTAACAAGCCCCCATCCTCTCGGTCATTTTGGAATGAGATGCAATGCTTGTTTGATCCAGCAGCTCTGAGCAGTCATGTTTACCTAAGAGCTTCGAGTCCTCTGTACCTAGGCCGATGCGTTTCCCCCACCGCCGGAACAGCAGACCGCCCGCAAGGGCTTGTTAAACGAGTACAGGTCAGTGGGGAGTCACATTGCAGCGCTCGCTAGATTTATAGCGCTGGGCCAGACTGTCACACACTATTCAAAGAACTTTTATTTGTCGACATTCGTAGGTCACCAAAGTTTTAGGACCCAAGAAATCAATGCTGTTGTGCTTGAACTTGGCAAAGCATAATGCTGTTGCTTATACTGAATGTCCAAGTGGACTCGTGTTTCGTATTTCCGATTGACTGTGTAGTTCACACTGTAACCGTATATCCCGTACAGTATGTTATCGATTAACTAGGGTGGTTAAATGGTAGAACGCATGGACCTGTGTGGAAAAGACGTATTCTTGGGACCGACTTTAGATTTACTTTTACATTTTAATACTTTATTATTCCGGAAACGTCTCATAGTGCCCCTCCTAAAAATCTCATCGTTATACGAAAACATGTATAAAATATTAATTTAAATAAGTGGTATATCATTATGAGTCAGAGTGCATTAACCTTAGTTGCCATCATGAGGACATTTGATGAAGCGCCAATAAATTATTTTCTTAAGCTGTACCCCATTAGCGCGATTATAATGTCGCCACGACTGAAGACAAAAAGCTACAGTATTACAACATATATAACAACAACACATTAGTACTTTAATCAGGACGCTGCCTGCGCTTGGGTGTTGCTGTTAGTGCTGTCATTCGTTAGCAAATCATCCTCCTCCTACAGTGAGCTACAAAGCTGCTTCTGTCTAAATTGTTCTGCAGTGACTCATTATTACATTTAAGACTGGCAATGATTCATGTGAATCAAATCAGAATACAGCACAGTCTCACAATTCAAAAAGTTCAATTGTTTACAGGTAAAAACTGAAGAAATTGGCCAACTAATTGCAGTATCTAAATTGTTCTGGGTAATTCTTGTGTTTTCCATTAAATCCACTTGGTCCTACAATTACGAAACACACAATAAGTGCCATGCATTCGTTTTTTGGAACAACTACCAGCTTCGTCAGCAGTATAAAACAGAGATGGAGAAGCTTATCTTCAGTGTTGTGGCAAAGCTTTTTTCCTCAAGAGGCAGTTTGAAAAAGCCTGATCACAGGTGATATGTAAACGTAGAATGTCTTAAATGATCTTCCAAACTTTTATTCTTTGCATGTTTGAGTATTTCTTACAAGGATGACCAAAATACTGGAGGCTCTTACAAAATACTTTTCTAGAAACGTAATGGTCTTACTTTCTGAAAGTAGTGAGTGGGATGTATCCACAACATACTCTTCATTGTGGAAACTGTTATGGTTCATTACCCTCACCTTGAGTGGCTGACAGAAGTAATCTTTCCTCACAATGGGTTGACTACAAAGCTCAAGTGGTGAAAGACATTTACAGAAGTCCCGTTTGAAACGTTATTGGAAAAAGGTGCATCATTACCACACTTCAAGGAACATACTGTAACTAATCAAGATTCATCAAGTACGTCGAAAGCAGGGTTCTCAAATTTTCTAGGCTGCATACAGGACCAGAAGTGGGAGGAAGATTTGACTAAAGCCCAGTTTGAGGGGCTTTGCCTAAATGAGATGCTCAAACATTCCAGCATAAACTCTCTTCGCAATGGGACAGACTGGCATCAACACCTGAAGAAGGCACCACAGCCGAAACGTTGTTTTCTTTCTTCTTTTTTTCAGCATGGAATAAACCTATTACTTTTTCCTTTGCAGACTGGCATCAACGTGATCTCTTGTGTTTAAACAGAGCAATCAGGCAGGCAACAAGGTAAATTTGAAAGAGATTGCAAATTTCAAATACTACACTCAAAGGTTTTTAGTTGTGAAATTTTGCTTTTGAAGTGATATCCAAATGACGGATCCTCCGTGTAAATCATTGTCCCGAACGATATTTGTATCAATGTTTTCGTTGTCCAAGGATCATTGTGAGAAATGGTCTCGGAAGACCACTTCAAGGAAGACAGATTTAATCGGCTCACTGGACTGACGCTGCTACAGTAGATATCAAGCCATAACACATTTCTACTTTTTGGCCTTATTTCCACTGCTGGCATGGCTAGGCGACGCTGGGGCTTGCTGGCTTGATGCTGGCTGTGCCAATCCAATAAAAAAGCATTCCCGCACATTTCTTTTTCCAAGCACAGCCAAAGCCAGAAGTTCTTGTCCTGTGGCAACAGGATGCCGGGAAGTTATGGGACACCGCTGTGGTACTTTTTAAAGAAACCCAGGGTGAAAAAAAATGCCCCTATGCTGGGTGTGGGATGGAAGACCACTGCTGTTTCCATTTAATACTTGTAGCCTAAAGATCACTGTGGTTCAAAATGAATACTTCCAGGCTTCAAAGAACATAACTGATATTCAACAAGTACTGTACAGTACATCTAGCACTTGAGAGAAAACGCCAGAGGAAAAGGGAGTGCATGCACGCACAGGGACAAATGAGACGTGTATTTACCCAGCCAACAAGTTTGGGGTAGGCAGGAGGAGATCAAATTACTAGGAGAAGACCCACGTGGATCCTAGCTATCTTAACCACATCTCCTCTAACAGAACCAGTGGTTTCCAAATACACTTAAGACATGAGTCTCCAGGAACTGCAGTCCTGGAGAGACCTCAGCCTCAGCGCATCAGAAGGGCTGTATCCTGCTTCCCAGACAGCTTGGCTGGTACTGGGCTAACACCACATATCAGCACGCTAAGTTTAACCAGCTGTCAGCCAACACCACCAACCGAAGCTTTCACCAGTTAATAAGTTAACCCAGTAGTAAGATGTTGTTCACCTACTGCTGAGAACACTTGTTCTCAAAGGTTGTTAAAATTTAGCTGTCCCCTGAAGAGCAACAACAGCCGAAATAAAGCTACGTCACAGATTTTTAATTTGGCGTTTTAATCCACGACGACAGATATTGCAGAACTGGTATAAAATGTACAAAAACAACTTGGCGTTAGACATCATGAGATAACTGGTGGCCTAGTTCAGGTTCCTTTCAGTCTGTGGTTTCAGGTCTTCAGTCCTGGCTCTTGTCACTGGGCTTTGAGCTGGGCACTCAAGTTCTGAAGCTCCGTGATCAGGTTTTCCAGGGTCCTAACGTCATCAGCCAGGTCAGTATGGATCTCCCCAGTGGCAACATCAGTGTAAAGTTGCTGAGGGAGACAGGAAGAGAACATGAAATAACCAACAACTCAGGTCTGCCCAAAATGAATATACAGTTCTGTGTATTTTCACCACTGAATGTTATCAGAGCTTTAATGTCAAATAATGCCAAAGTCTGGCGTTTGTTTAGTTTTATTACATGAACAAAGCCATCCAACATCCAATGTCCCCGTGTGGAAATGTTTATGCCCTCTTAGTCTGGATGTTGGATAACTCTGAAATAAATGAAACAAACAACTCTCGTGTCAGACTCCTTTTCTATATCTCTAGGACCCACATGAAACTCTGACAACAATCAGTGGCAAAAACATGCAATTCAGAAGCTCTGAGAGAAGGCCAATATTTTTTTCAGTCATACAGGTATCATCTGTGAAACTGAGGCTAGAATAACTACTCATGAACATGACGCAGAATGTAACCTACACGTGTTATCAGGAGAGTGCAGGACGTCCTGGGTATTTGGTGTAATATTCATTGCTTGTGCAACCAGGTGACATGGTTTTGGCACAGGAGGTGTGAGTAGCATCCTCACACAGGTGGTAGTTAGTTCCTTGCCACCGGCTGGGGTATTGGTGTCCTGTGCCATTCTAAGAAAATGGCAGGAAACCCTCCCGCTGCATTTTTCTAATCTTTCAGAAAATGAACCTTGAAATGAGGGACCCCTTGTGTACTGATTCTCAGCGCACGCCTGTCACACCAGACCACCATCAGTGAAGCCACCAGGCCTGGGTGAGACCTTAGGTGTCTCACAACACAGAAGCACTACAGGAAGTCCCCCAGCGGGATTATGGGAGGTGTAGTTCTCAGAGGCAGTGCAGTGTCTCTGAGCGAAGCAGATCTATACCGGCCAGTTTTCTGTACCCATCTCTTAGCGATGTGTGTTAACCTGTGTGCCCAGGCAGGCAGTGTACACTATTGGCTACTGGCTGCTATTGGGAATCATTAGGATAGGGTCACGCTTTCAACTGGGAAAACTGACATTCTACAAAAAATGAGGGAATTGCATGAGTTCTTAACACTTTAAAGGAGACCACATAGGCACTTGTGTCAGTGGAGCGCAGAGGAGAGTGTGGGAGAGGCACTGACAGGAGTACCTTTGCTCTCGATGATAGACTGCGGAGGCTGAGGCGAGCTGAAGACAGCATCTGTAAGGCTTCCTGGGGGTTGGACTTGCTTTTACTGCAGGTAATTGTGACTGAAAGAGAGGGGGGAAGGACAAATCTTAATGATCTGGCTTTAACACATGGGAGACAGAGCAATGACTACTGGACACTCCTGGTACAGAGTCAGATATGGTCTGCCTTTGTCTTTTCACCTGAAACACAAACTCAAGCTTAGATGCCGAATACAAGCAGGGCCCCAATGACTGACTGAATTACGAATGACCAACCCAGATTGTCTGACTTAAGAAAAAGCCTCATTCAGTTAGGGTGCCTAGTGAAATAGTAAAAGGAAAAATTAAGCAGAAAATCGTCTTCTACTTTGTAAATTGTTTTCATGTAAGCTACATCCACATCTTAAATGCTGCACATTTTGACAAAGTACTCCATGAGGGGAAAAAAAAAACCTGAAAGAAAATAAAGGATATTATAAAAAGTCACCCCCTGCTCAATTTAAGTTCCGATACATTAGCTAGTCATGTCATAATAAATCATCAAGATCAGTGGCAATTTCAGTTTCTGAAGGACAAAAGCGTTCTCAGAAATGTTTCCAGTAGACTCCGTGCATAGTAGATTGAAGCAGAAGGATGTGTCTTGGCTGCAGATTAAGCCTTGTGACGACAGCAGCTGTAGAACTGCCCGCGGAGCACAGTTTTATAATGCAGCTCATATGTTTAATTCAGCTCATTGGCCTTAATAAATAGAATCTAAGACATTTATTGAATTTTCTTCCTGGACATTTTCCCATAATATGGTACATTTGTATTCATGCCGGGCTGTGGATTTTTTTACAATGAACCAAATGACGAAAATAAGCCACTGCGATTTTCTCTGACAAGAAAAAAAAAGCTGTTTTCTTATTTTTAAATGGCTTTCTTTTATCACCTAGAAAGCATCCAGAGGTCTATAAGTAGATACTTTGAGACTTTGACTGAACGCTACAATGCACTTTAAGGATAAGAAGCCTGTCAGCAGATGGTGCAGCATATGCACGATATATTATAATCAACCCAGTAAGAACTGAAGCTGTCACGCGTAAACGTGAAATACACACCATTGGCCAGTTCCACTGCCCCTTTCACCACATCCCTGAAGGTCCCAATGTCTTTCTCCCATCCACTCCCCTGCGTCTCACAGCGGTGTGCTTTGGCCAGGAACTGTAGTGCCTAGGAAACAGAGTGGACTGTGAGGCGGCTCCACAGATAAATGCGTTCTCTCGCCGCACTGCATTCGATTACCAGATATCCCCTGTTCCAACCCTACAGTGCGGCAGACCGGCCAGTCGAGGACAAGGCCCCGGTTAATGCCGGCTGTGGAGCAGTGCGTTCTGAGATTAACTGACCTGGGAAGTACCATGCTGCAGGTCAGAGAAAAACTAGGAAAAAATGGGAAACGGGCATTTGTACTGCTTCTATTTTTTAACTGGAGTGGGAAAAAGAAAGGTAAAGCTGGTTAAGGCAAGATGGGAGCCTCCCAACTGGCTCAAGCAGTGAAGGCAAGAGTAGAGGTGTAGCCCAGCATGTTGCTGGTGTTGCTGGTCAGAGCCAGGGTCATGCCCTGAGCCCGCTGTGAAGGGGTTACCCAAGTGGCTACTGCTGGTATCGAGTGTGATTAGTCAGTACTGGGACCTGCCTGGCGTTTGCAAACTAGCAGTGAAACAAGCACTATTCTTCCCATCATTTCTTCTGTACTCGTAACTGCAACCATATGAAGTGTAACAAAGGCTATTTGTTCAACATTCAACATTATTCATTGTTCATTATTCTTCCTGTACTGCAGTTTAAAAATTAACATAATATGTGATTACAGAGGATGATGGTTCAATTTCCGAATCCAGAATTTCAAATAACATTTGGTAATGTTCAAACTGGGTGGGTATAAAATAAAAAAGCCGTTCCAAAGTTCTCGTTGTTTTTTTAAAGGACCCACTTTTTCGTTGTCTTCGCAGCTGACGCTGTGCCCATCGCCATACAGTTTGGCATACTGCCTCCAGATCTCGGCGTCGTTGGTCACTCTAGAGGTCACTCTGCCGAAGAGCTCCTGCAGCCGGACCCTCTGATTGGAAGCTTTCTCCCCCTGCATGTCAGTCAGCTCCTCCACGACGGCTTTGACCAGGATCCTCAACACCTGTAGGAGAGGAGCACCAGGTGAGAGAGCCTCAAATCAACACATTCCCCTCCAGGTCACCGTGGAAACCAGCACCGGCAGCATGCACAGCATTCCAGGAAGTAGCAGAAGTGCTTTTAACTAAATTAGCTTTACCTTAATTTAAGCCCAGAGCCGGGCCTATACTGTCTATAGTTTCCAAGGTAATACAAGCAGACAGAAGAGGCCTCAGAAGGACTGTGACACAAAGAGGGTCCCAAGACTTTACCTAATGAGGAGACATTCTTCCACAATTATCCTCCAAAAGAAATATGATTCACACGTAAACTCTTCAAATGTTCATTTTTAACTGTAAATGATCTATTAATAGCCATTATAGCCTGAACGTTATACAAAATATTGAGACCAATACAATTCTATCCAATTAAAAATAAAACTTGAATGCTACTTTTTTCTAAATCAACAAATTCACGTGCTAAAACCCGTTGAGATAATATTATGCAATATCTCATCTTCTCTGTCCAAACTACACAGGGTTTCTCAATCCTTCCTGTAGCGAGTGGGAGCTCCAGGGAGCGGAGAGAGCAGAGCTGAGTAACACCCCCCCACTGAGGAACACCCCCACACTGCAGCCTGCAAAGAGCAGCTCTCTGCAGGGAGGGCTTCCCAGAAGTGGACTGGGTCCGCCCTCTTGGAAGTTCAGGACTCAAGAGCAAAACAGTGCTAGTGAAGAGCTTGAAATACAGCTTTCTACTAGAGCTTTTCATTGCTTTCAGGACATCCATTGCAAAACGGAGTGCACTGGTACTTCTCTGCCAGCGTGTCCAACCAATAGGCACCAAAAGTGGGAATGCACAGCCACTATATCGGCACAGGAAAGGACTAAAACTCTGTTAGATACACAGTAACAGTTGGGTTTCATTTTACCAGCAGTGCAGAAGAACTACTTTAAAACTCATTTGGATTCATTTTATTTTTGTTTTTCAATTTCCCTGGGGTTCTTTACCTTTTTTTAGCTACAGTACAATAGTGTATTGTGAATACAGTTACTTTATTACTTGTGTGCTTCTGGGGTCATGACCTTTGATTATTTTAACAGATTCATAAAGTGAATGCACTTTGGTATCTTTTAGAATTTTCTTGCACTAAAACATAACAGGTTTGCAGCTTTAGAGTCTACCCATCTGTAGACATCTGTAGCTATATTCTACCTGCTCCTCCACAGGTACACAGTACCTGGTGAAACACTAGTGGCAAAAGAAATCTTTCCAAATGTATTAACAACAGAAAATGACGTATTTGCATTATACAGCACTACGCAGTTCAATCCAGAAGAGGTACTAAATGTTTAGAAGAAGAGAGATTAGGTAGCTGGAATCTTTACACAAATGTTGTAACTGATTACTGTCTCTGAAGAAAGCACCACACATCCTCAGAACAGAAGGGGGAAAGGCCTCGTGCACCAGGAAGTATGGTACAGCGGAGTGCTCTTTGTTCCAGCAGGTCAGAGACAAGGGGCCTATTCTGCCCCTGGGGTGGGTGAGTGATGAGTGCCGTTACGTGATCTCACACAGCTTGAATGAGCTAGATGTGCTGAAGGGGTTCCTGCAAAACAGCTACTGAGAGAAGCAGAACTGTGGCTTTGAGCCGCGTGAAAATGACCACAACATATTTGAAGAAAGCAGGGGGCAACTCAACACTTAAAGTTATCCTATCTAAAGAGATTTGGACATTCCTTCTGTGTCTGCATCCTCCATCTGTGATGAAAGCGCATGGCTCCTTTAAAAGCAGGTAGTTTTTCTTCCCCACTGTAAATATAACCCACCCAGGGGATCTTGAACTTTTTAGTAGCATAACAAATCTAATTTCCAGACCAGCCCCTGTGCCTCGTCTGCTAACTGCCGGCTGATCAAAAAATAAAACCTTATTTACATTACCAACTGGACACTCTAAGAAAATAAGTACTGCAGATCGAATTGTAAACATAAATCTCTAAGAACTGGCAGCAGGCTTTTAGGTATCAGAACCCACTGAAGAACATAACAGAAAGTATAGCTCAATCTAAGGTACAGTACAGCCCTTATCACTGGGGAATCGTAGACGTAAGCACTTCCTGTTTCCACTTAGCTAACCCTAAACAAGTGTGACCAGTGCCAGAAAAACCTCCCTTTCATGCCTCTTTCAACGTGTATATATAGGCTTACAATAGCAGAATTACAAATCATTTTGAAATTTGACATGAAAAAATCAGTATGAAATACAAAATGCATGACGGAACTTTACCCCATTAAAATCCAATACACCACAGGTACACCACAGGTATACCACATTATTAGCACTGTGTGTTAAAATTAAGATTACTTTATTGGCCATATACTGTACAATTTCTTGCATTAGGAATTCGTCTTTTGCATACCCCAGCTTGCTCTCCATGAGACACAGACACACAGACAGGGAGAGAAGCTGGGGGTCAGAGCACAGGGTCAGCCATTTATACGGCGCCCCTGGAGCAGCTGGGGTTAAGGGCCTTGCTCAGGGGCCCTGGGGAGTAGGATTCCTCTGCCGGCCGCGGGATTTGAACAGGCAACCTTCCAAACACAGGTGCAAGCACTCAGAGAGTGCTACAACATTGTACGCACAATGAAAGCACAGGAGTGCTGAGTACAACAGGTCCTGGGGAGGAAATGCGGTATGTTGACAGCAAAATCTTTGCTAGTAAAAGCTACTCCACTCAAGAAACTGTGCCCAGACTCCATGTTTCAGCGGGATCATATACAAATGTACTAGGATGAAGACTCTCTTCCTGAAGCAGAACACTCTTCCTGACCATTAAAGGGGAGTATGAACAACTCACTGCTCCCCTTGCAATGCGATATGCCCTTCCTTTAAATAGTGGACATTACTTTGAAGGGTAGAGTTCACTTACACAGGGCAGAGGGCCTCTCTTACCGCTAATATCTCCTAGTTGGAGGACAACACTTGTGATGATGGCACTCCTGGGACCCAGCTTGGCTCATTATTCACCGACTAGAAGGAGAGAGAGGAGTTCCTCCTCTTGTTTTCTGGTTTTGCCACAAACCAGAGGAAGAAACACAACTGTTGACGAACCACGGAAACCCCATTCTATTCTACCTTCATGCAAAGGCAAAGATGACTCAAAGCCCCCCCCACACACTTTTCCACACTCTAGGACTGACCTAGTTTTATTTTCTTATCAAATGTTTTTTTTCCCGATTGGTTCGGTCCTTCCGCTATGTGGTACTTAGGACACCGACCCTGCAACTGCACACGGGGGAGGATGAGGGAGTGTAGGCGGAGAGGTGGTGCGACCTGCCCCCTGTTGAGTCACTCTTCCTTTAACACGTCCCAGGCAAGGCCGCCTGGAGGTTCAGCACTGATCAGATCGGAGCTGCCCCCCTCGCCAACAGTGCCGCATGCCTGCACGTGCCTAGGTAGCCACAGAGGGGCGCTGTATCTCAGCCAGGAGCTGATAGAGCCGCGGCCAGGTAATCCCACACTATCCTCAGTGACGCTCAGCCACGTGTGCACCGCTGCTTGGGGGACGACAGTGCCCCAGACTGAACATGTGATCACAGAACTCAACCTGCCCTGGTCAGCCGCTGGTACTGATTGAGCCACCTGGGAGCCCAGCTCTATTTCTTAATAAAATTACCTTCCGGAGGCGGGGATTGTACTGCTATTACTGTGCCTGTTCTGGCCTCAAGACTATGACACTGTAAGTGAGATTGGTACTGCAGATCGCAAACCCCAGCAGAAAACACTCTTATAGTGCAGTTATGTATCTGAGTGTATGTTCTCTGCGTGACGGGTGACAATCCAGCCAATATCTTAGTATAAAAACAATAAATATATAAAGTAGTCTCAGTCACAGTGTAACATATATTCACAGAAAACTACAAAATTGAAAAGCCATTAAAAGCCATGTAAGCCATTAAAAACAATCCATACTAAATAATTACAAAGAATAATGCATGTAGCCAAGGACTGATTAAAAAAATGTTTTACACTGCCTACAGGAGCTGGTAAAGACAGGAATTCTAGTTAAAAGGAGTCTGGCTACAGGGAAGCAAGAGTAGAATATTATAGAAAAGTAAATGGGTGCACATCTGTGTAAACTATACTTTGGAATAAAAAATGATGTGTCATTCAACCATTTCAAAGTGTGAGTGAACTTTGAATGTCCAGTAAAATGATAAATCCTGTTGCTGAAAGAATATGAAATCCTGAAGTTTATGAAGTAAATAAACTGCTAGATTAAGAGATTTATGTGCTTCAACAGTGAGAAATTATTTAAATATTACAGCTTCATGGATGCAGACTTAGCCAAAACCACAGCAGAAAAAATGCCCTTTAAAACAAGCGCTTTAAACTTCAAATAAGACTTTTTTTATAAACCACAAGTACTTTTTGACAACATTCTTTGGTCAAATGAATCCAAAGTAATATCCCCCCAATAGAACACCACAAAAGATTTGTTGGAAAAAGTGTACAGCAATTTCTAAATTAATACTCATTGTTTTTTTGTCAAAAGCTTTAGATTTAAAGACCAACTTTTGATTAATTATATTAAGTTAAATAATTTTATAATTTAAAAGCAATAAGCCTTGTAGTTGTTACGGATTAATGTCTTATTATTGACATTTAAGAAGCTAAAGCAAAAAGACAGGGTGATCTTGGAAAGAATCAAATTTCAGAATAGAGTTGTACCTCCACAAAATATTACACCTTGTTGTTGGGAATCAAGGAATAAAGAAGGTTTCCTATTTTCAGTTTCTCACAAATTCTCCGATTTTGTTTTCCATCAACTTCATTAATCCATTTCAGTGAACCTCACTAGGAGCCTGTATTCCTTCCACACCAGTTAATGTAGGTGTGTACCGATAGGAAAATTGATTTGATTCACAGTTTTGCTGTGCAATTTCTACTGTTAAATCGTGTGTTAAAATGTCTACAATTCTGATCGCTTGCATATTTCTAGAATGCAAATGGCATAGAACATTATTCATATTTTATGGAAACTATATACTAGAATATGAAAATAGTCTAAAAATATTAAAAATGTTATTATCCTTACTTAAGGTATAGGTATTGCTTTGCGGAGGTGGTGAGAATTTGGTAAGAGTGGTCTGAAGTGTTGATTTTCTTTTTGGAAAAAAGGTTCAAGCAGGTTTAGTGCCTTTTAGATGTTTCTCTTCTTCTCCACCCTGTGACGTTTTTCTCAAGTCTTCCTGCAGGCTCCTTCCCCCTCCATCACCACTTTCTTGCTTGCGCCGGGAATTTTTTCAACTTTATGTTGATACAGAACCGTGGGTGTTTCGCTCAAGAATGATCTTTCAAGAGCGCAGTAAAAACGCTCTTCCTGCAGTGATTATGCGATCACATGTACTGAACAGAATGCACCGACACTCTTTCCTCCCTTCCTCTCGCACCAGTGTTCGGCGAAGGATACGACAACTGCCGACGGGGATTTGAAACCAAGACCCTCTGATCACGAATCCTAACCCCTGCAGTCCACGCTGCTACCCTGAGTTATTATTTGGCTACTGTCAGATCCCGCTGCTGACTTAGGATGGACTCATGCGCTGGGCGGGAAGCTGGGTGGCAGTGTGGGGTCTGGGAAAGCTAAGCTGTGGTGTGCGCATGCCGAGAGACAAGCTGCAGGCCAAAGCCGCCAGCCAGGGACTGAGAGATGCAGCAGAGCTGTGTACTCAGGCACAGATGGCAGAGCAGCAGGCAGGGATCGCAGTTCAGGTCCGTCGAAGTCGGCGGTGAGACACAAGCACAGTCCAAAGCACAAAGGCCAAGTCCAGGGGGTGTGTGGCCGGGGTAAAGCAAGGGTCAGATCCAGGAAACTCGGTAGAGCACAGTTCACAGCAAAGGGCAAATCCAGAAGACTATGTCGTGCAATGTGAAATACTGGAGAAAAAGTTCCGCTCCCAAGTCGGCTAGTCACCACCAATCACAGTAACCCACGCACTGTCACAGCAAGTAAACAGAGAATAAACAAGCCAAGGGGGAATCCAGCAACAAAGTTGAAAACATAGCAACGGTCAGGAGTGCAAGCAAGGTGACAGTAGGGAAACAGAAATGAGGCAAAGCTAGGAAAACAGGACTTGAAACTCTACAAAAGAGCCCCAAGCAGCGTTTGAAAAGTATTCTGCACCACCTGATGCAGATGTGGAGGTACATTGCTTGCAGGTGATGCAGATCTCCTGTCGGCAGGCGTCTCCATGGGAACCAGCACTGAGTGACAGGTGGGAGGTTGGGTGCCATGGCAAACGCCAGCTCGCTCCGTAGCTTTACAGTGGGGCTGAGTATGACCGCTGAGCTTTATTTAAATAACCAATTATTTTGAGAGAACAAAATAATTCTCAAGCTCTTTGTACACTCAAGCGTCCCATTCTATTGACTGAGATTTATACGGACAATTTAAAAATAAGCATATGCTTTTGCTGAGCTCCTTGCATTTGAACAATCAGCATCATTGTGTAGTACCACTAGTCAACAAAAGCAGAAAAAAACAGACATGGCATCACCTGTACATCCTTGTACTTCTCTCTCAGGTCCAGCAGCCTGTGGTATGCTTTAATGGCTTCTGCAAACTCCCCCACATCAATACATGTGGTGATGTAGTTCTCCCAAATTTGCCAGTGCTCATAATTGCACTTGAGAGCTTCTTGCAGTGTCCTGAACGCCTTGGTTCTGTGACAGCAATACAACAGAGAATCAAATGAATACTTATTTCTCGTTATTGTTTCTGGGAAAACAACAAAATAGAACTTAAGATTTTAAAACTGGATGGTACATGTAAGGAGGTTTAAGGTCTCAGTCTTCAGGGGGAATTTCATAAGTAAATTTACTTACTCAGAAGGTATTCCAAATACTTTATAAACGAGGCACAGAAGATCTCCTGCATGCAAGCATGATCTAAGGTCCTAAGCCTTTACAGGAGTCAATTGATTTACTAGTTACACTGGCAGCAATGTAGAAATCACATGCCATTTAAATATAGAGGGTCCATGTAAAGAGCATAAAAGAAATTAAAACAAAAAAGGGGATTTTATTAGACTGTGTTATGTTTCCTGGGTATGCAAGGAACAGTCTTGTAAATGTAATGCTAAAGGTAAGGTCTGTGGGCCGAAACATCAATCAAATCAATTCACCCAATGCCACTTCATACTGGTTATTTTCCTCTGGAATATAGAGACAGTGTGTGTCTGATGCTCATAATACAATTCCATTCCCTGAGATCCCCTTTCACACACTGGCTCCTCCCTTTTGAAAACTCTACTCCGGTCTGAGGCTCCAAAACTAATACTGTCAGCTGCCACACATTGCAAAGCAGCACAGCTGTTTCTGTGAGGAGCGGTGTGAGGCTGACAGCCGAGATGACTCAGGGCAATCACTGGTCTCCCTTCTCGGCAGGCTGGTGTGGCCTAATTCAAGCCACAGATGGTAAGGAGTAATTATAACTTGTGAGCAGCAACGAGAAAGAATAAACTATGACATTAAATTTAGGGGGGACGTTTCTCTTCTCTATACTCACTTCTGCTTCAGACGGATATACGCTGTGGACAGGTTATTCCAGGCTTCAGCGTTCTGGGTGAGGAAAAGTGAGAAAAAAAACTTGATAAATGTGCGAAGACCATTACGAGAATTAAACATATCGGCCATACGTGCAGGCTGTGAATCCAGATACAGGTAATTAGGAAGAGATCTGTTTGCCATTGAATGTTAGCAGGGTACTGGGGACTTCTGTTTCTGCACAGAAGTGAAATTTATTATTGTCTTGGTTTGTGTTTTCAGCTGTGCCCCGATAAGAACAGATGGCCGCTTCTCTTCCCCCAGTGTTAATAATAGACATAAAACCATGGCTCATGGCAGGAATTATCAGCGCCCGTGGTGGAGGATAACATGTGGAAATGAATGAATGAATTATTTGTCTATAATAACTGGTTACCGGCAGAAAAAACAAGGAAAAATTAGTTTTCTTTGTTGGTGGCAAAACCGTTTCTTTTTATTTTAATGGCTATTATTACCACGGATTACCATCTAGAACATATCGAGAGCAAGGAGAGCCAGCTCCAGAACTGGACCCCGTATCAGAATCTGGAGGAAGGGAGGTTGCCCAGCGAGCCAGACAGAACAGAACCGACAGACTGCTCCCTTGTCACCGCTGTGTTCCCTGTTAACCCAGGGAGCTGGTTTCAGGTCGGTATGGCTGTGCCTTGTGTTTAGATTACATTTTGCTAGATCGCCGCAATCAGGGCAAGGCTGCATTTATCACATCGTCAAATGGGTCTGTTATTCACATGAGATAAGCATTCTCATGGGAAGGAAAAAACAAAAATGCATTACTTACATCTGGTTCCAGACCAACACATCTCTGGAATGCCTTTGCAGCCCCTTCATAGCCTTCTACAGCTATATAGGCACATCCCAGAGAGAACCACACACCGAGCTGCAGGCAAGAGGAAGAGAACATTGTTCAGCAGTGAGCTCATGTTTCCTTTCAAATGCCAAAACGAAGCACTATCGATAGGCTTTTCCTGTCATTTGTTTCCTTTTAAAATCACCTCTATAGTTTGACTTGGATACATTTCTATGAAATGGTTTTCTGATGAAATGCTGGCTCCAGCTCAAACATCATAATGCAGTTTGTTTCAAACCCCACCAGCCTCATTGTCTGCGTGTGAACACTTCAGATTTGGCAGTAGCATTTCAAATACAAAACCCCAGTGTGGCTCTGAAAAGCAAGATACTTGCAGACGCAGACAGCAGCACAGGACCTCGACCTGCGGCTGCTCCTGATGTGCCCACAATCTCCGTGACATGAACCTGTCGAACGTTTTACAATTCCGAATACTCTTGATACAAAACGTACATACCCTGAGAACTGTATTGTGGAAGATTCAGTGCTAATTATAATGCCAGTGCATGAGTAATAAAGCACATAACTAAAGAAACAAACCCGGGTAACCTACAACAGAAGGGATTTAGAAAAGAACCCCCACCTCCCAAATTAGAGATAAGGGCAAAAAAGGCAATAAATGGGCCCCGTTTTTCAAAGGACCAATGGAATTACTCAATGATGAAGTGTCACATGATACAGAACCCCTTCAGCTGTTTACCACAAAAGACGCCAGCAGGTGCTTTTGTGTGAATTAGAAGAATTATTTTAAAAATACAGATCTGTCACCCTGCTTCAGTGTTACAACCCTATGTGGTTGACAAGCAGTTGTCACACAGATAAAAAAGAAACAGCTTTAGATCCCTTTGAACAAGCCAATGTGTACTGAAAGGTAGACCGTTCAATCGTTAAATGATATCCTCTGCCTCAGCAGAGTCTAAATAATCCAGGGTCTATATCCAAAACATTCAGGAGCGAAGATCTCTTTTGCTTCCAATAGAGATTTACCTCACTGCATGTAAAGATACACTTGCAGCTGCAGCAGTTTTTCTGCTTCTTTGCCTTTTGGTAAGAAAAATACCCCAGGAATCAACACTAAGAAGATTACAAGATAAGAAAAGACAAGAAAAGTTACAAATGAGAGGAGACCATTAAGTACATCTAGCCAGTTTGGTAGCAGTGTATTGATCCTAGGAACAACAGAAATCATTCAAAGGGAAAAAAAATATGGGAATTCCGTCACCCTCCCCCCCACACACACATCCTCCCTGCTCAGAGGTGTGTTTGCAAACACTTGGTCACCATTTGTCACCCCCCGCAGGCCGTCTGCGAGAGCTGTGCTGCATTTGAGACGACTTCAGGAGAGCCGCCAGGGTGCAGATGAAATCTCTTTGGCCGTATCAAATAGCTTTCACCAGCAACCTGGGGGCATTTCAAAGGCACGATCTCCCTTTGGAGCTGCTCAGATTTCACCTTCCACCTCACGGCGCACGGAGAAAGAAAACACAAAGCACCTCCCTGCTTGCTCGTAGAAATGGGAAGCTAACCTGGGAACTTTTTTTTTTTTGCATTGGCCCGAAGGCTTGGGGAGGCCGTCTTTTCTGAAGGCGTTTAAAAAACACTTTCACCTCTGACGCGCAGCAGCGAAGCAGCCATTGTTTGGTGAAATGGGCTTCCGTTTAGCGATCTCCCAGTGCCGGGTTAAGTCAGAGGTCAGGGAAGTCTGTGAGGGTGAGCCTGCTTTTGTTCAGTAGCATGGTTAGGCCTGACCTTCCCGAGAGTCAGATGGCTATTAGCCCACTGACAAAAGCAGGGGGCAGTGAAAAGGGCTAGACAGGTTAAGATGGAGCTGAAAGCAGAGAGCTGCCCTGGAATGTTTTCTTTCTGAGGCCTGTGAGATGGCTGGGCTCCTGGGCGCCGGGGCGATGTACCTGCATGGCGTTGATGCCGAGCGAGTGGTGAAAGCAGGCGATGCACTGCTGGAACTCCTTGCTGCGCAGGTGCAGCAGGGCCTTGGAGCGCTGCGCGCGGGCGCTGCGGCCGCCCGACAGCTCCCAGGCTTTGTCGTAGTACTGATGCTCCCGCAGCACGTCTCCCAGCAGGCAGTAGAGCGAGGGGGTCTCCCGCTTCTCCAGCTCCCTGCGCAGAATCTCCTCCGCCTGCACCGGGAAACGGGACAGGTCAGGAAACGACGCCGGCCGGCGCTGGCCGGAAAAACACAGGCAGCGGAGCGCACCGTGGCTTCTGCTCCAGATGAAATCACCTCTTACAGACGCCACCAGTCAATACAAGCACGCTGCACAGGCGCTAAGATAAAGAATGCAGAGCTCCAGTACAGCTAGACTGAGTTACCGCCGGAGTGCATCAGGATTTTATTAATCCGTTTCTCTGGTTCATTTATTTCTCACAGTTCTGAAGCTGTCTGCCTATTTCCACAACACTCCAGCAGCTTGCATCATTCTTTTCAGTCTGCTTGGTCTAATCTCTGAAAAATGGACCGCGCTGTCAAAGACCTTCACACAATGCACTGCATTTGGGCTGAGCAAAACATAAGTAGCTGAAATGCAAGATTATGTGGATAATTATGGCTCTAACACCTGGTTGGGCTACGGAAGAGTCTTTAGTTCAGTCCCGTCCAGGTTCTCTTAAGGGTCCTGCCCATTTGTGGTCATGGACAGGAGCCAAACATGCAGTGGTGACTTAATCTTTAAGCCTTTGTTGAAATAACAGGTTTGCCTTCATGTCACCGCAGAACAGCACCAATAGCTACTGCAGACTGTCCCCACTGGATTAGGACTGGCTAGTGTAATGCTGACTGGTACACACGCCATTAAAATACAAATGTTCCGCAAGAACAGTTTAGCAAGAAGGCAGTGGAAGACTTACTTGTCTCTGAGTGGCTTTCTATTAAAAGAACTAATGTTACACAAAGCAGTGAGGACATAACTAAACTGATTTTTCACTAATGCTTGACTTGGGCTGAGTTTCATACACGTAGTCCTTGGACTGTGTGTGCACACAGAACGCGTGCAGGACGTGCTTCAGTGCTACTGGGCATGTATTCTTGCAACATTCCTGAGCAGAAAAAAAAACGTATCTTAAGGATCTGTTGACAAGGACAAGTGCATGTTGAAGAAACCCAGTTCAACCTCTGTTAATAATGTGAATAGTTAATGGTGTTAAATACAGCAAGTTATGATACGTGAAAGGCTTCTGGGAATCTGGCAATGGTGCAAATGTGTGCATGTCTGTGTTTGTGTCTGTCTGTGCCCTGTGATAGACTGGTTCCCCGCCCAGGGAGTATCCTGCCTTGCGCCTGTCACCTGCTGGGATAGGCTCTGGCTCCCCTGTGACGAATCGGAAGAAGCAGTTAAAAAAATGGATGGATGCATCCATACACGGTTGTTGTGCGTCTCCTGCAACACAAGACACATACACGCATGCTCAGGACTTTACAGGTAACGCAAAACAAACATTTGTGTAGGAATGCATGTGTGTTTTTGGGTATGTTACTGAGTAGTGTATGTGCCTTCCTATGTGCCATCAGCCAGCAGTTAATCACATGAAAACACGTGGGACTCAGTAACAAAGTGAGTATTTATGTTTGTGGTCGACTTGATTCCATCATCACAGTCAGTTTCAAAACTTCATGCAGCCAATCAAGTATAAAAATAGTAGCACTTTTGCTAATGATAGTGACTGACAGTCTGTGTAGGCGGCTCGATTAGGGATTTTTTAAATAAAATTGAACAATGATTCTTTATATACTGCAGATGAAGCTATCAAACATTTCCATTGGCACAGGTTGTGAACATTATCTTATTTATTTTTTAAAAGTGAAGAGAACTATGCTAATAGTTATTGTTATTGCTCCAACCAATACTAAAAGAGGCAAAACCCAATCAGGCTCTAGATTCAGCACTTTAAAAACTATCAGGAGTGTTTCACTCCTCATCACAGTCTTCTCTTGGAGTGAAAAATGACTTTTTTCCTGTGGAAAAATGTCTTTCCCCCAGAACTTTTGGTGAATTTATCCACCTCCAGGGATCAACGTCTCCGTGGCATTTTAAATCCCATAATTATCCTGTGATTAAAGCTAATTACTATGGTAATTTCTCTTCTATGCTCATTTTTCACTGAAAAACTAGATTCTTTAAATATAACATTCATATTTTTTGGGGGATCAAACAGTTCCTTCATTAGAAGTTTTAAAATATTCTCCTTAATACACAATTCTCTTTTCCCATTGATTTTTAAAATGAACATGGGGTAAATCACCATTCTCTGTGATCACAGATGAATTCTTAGCTAGTCCTAGCAAGATGTGAAATGACTGCAGCTGACCCACCTGCGAAGCCACTGGACACAAACTCCTGGCATTCAGAGCTGCCCCAGGCCCAGGGCTGGACTGAGATCCTCCAACACAACTAACTAAAGCTGCTCTTAGTCCACCAGCCATCCCAGAATCCCTCAGCCGTCACAGAGTTCCTTACCGTAGCCTGAGACTCTGTCTCACTAAAACTGTTAACTAACAGAACAGCTTCCAAGAATCCAAAATAATACCTCCAGTAAATACGGCGCAGCAGAACCTGTCAACAGCTAATATACTGTTGTGTGTCAAAAATCAATACCCCACTACTAAAATAAGAAACTCTGACTGCACTTGCTAGGGGTTAAATTACATATCTTCAAGTAAATTAAATCGGCCACCGTGAGTTCTTCGCTTTGTCTCTGAACAGCTGTGCCAAGGCCAGCCCCAGGCCCAGCAGACAGACCGAAGTGATTGGTTTATAAACGACCACTGAGGATTGAGCTTTTTTGGCACAGGACTGAGGGAAAGTCCACTGCCAACAACAACAGCAGGTTAAGAGGTAACATCCAGTCATTAATATAGCAACTCAGTGACATCAAGGCCAAGATATTATTAAATTAGTTGTCTCTCAAACATGCTAAAAGCTTCCCAATTATCCTTGACATGCTCTTGACACCAGTATATAATAAGGCCTTTACTACAATTAAGAAACAATTTGCTGCGATTCCCTAATATGTTCCGAAAGAGCCAAAAATCACTCAACCAGAATCTCTTGAGAAATTAGAGAGGCCTGATTAAATGTGCTTTGAAACACTGAACAGCCTTTTTAGAATGACAGTGGTTATTGTTCCATAACCTTGGGAAAAGGCTGCTGGTAAGTTCCACCTCAATAAGGAGCTGAGGTTTCACCATTCAACACCCAACAGAGAGTCACTGCATCCCCTTCACATACGTGTTTGTTGATTTTGCTAAACCTGCATAATTCTGTTGCAAGAAACTCCTTTTAAAATAGGGACAAATGTACTCTTTGGTAACCCACAGCACATGGGCAGATGTTAATCCACTTTTCATCAGCACTGTACTCTTACTCACCCTAAAAATGCAGGCTTCGTAATCTGCTCTTGTAATAAAGTAGCTATGAAAGCTAACTCATTCACAGCTTGAAGAAAAAAAAAACTCACAAAAGACAGAACCCAGATCTCATACACAAAGGTACTCAACACAGACAGCCTAGTAACAGGGCCTGATGTCCTTCAGGGCATAAAAGAGCTAGAAATGTATGTACTTGCAGTGACAAATACCTTCAAAAACAGAACACGAGGCAGTGCACTGAGGGTAAAAGACGGCAAGAATATAAACATTCAGACAGCCATCCTGCATGTCAGTTGTCTCATGTAGCTCAGAGCCTTAGCTGGAAACATACCAAGGTTTTGTTCAAATCAATACAGTGCACTACCCCAATCAGACTGGGAGCCCATGGGAGCTATAACTGAATGGAAAGGACAAAAGCTCCTAGGATTCTAATTCAATCGTACACTGAGCAGCCAACTGGGGGATATCTTTATCCTTCCAGAGCTCCAGTGCTATCTATAGGACACAGCAACATGGCAGCAATATGATTAAGTGATGAACCTTTTCAGACTCGGGGTGGTCTCAAAGACCTGTTGAAAACGGTCTGATTTAGGATGCCTGCTGTCAGCCCCCCCCTTCTTGCTGGTAGTCAATGCTGTGCCTGCAGCCTCTTCAGAAAGCTCTTTGTGCTGCGGTAAAAAAAGCTTGTACGGCTATGTTCAGGACACTGGCCTTCAAGAACAAGCTGATGGCAACACTTCAGATTACTTTTTTCAAAGACATTTCCAAACACTTCAGTACTGGAATATATTAGTAGGCTGACATAAAAGTGGCATTAACCAACGTCTGATGGGGATTAATTGCATCTTGGTAACAAAACCCCAATCATTGCCATAGGCTGAGTTATACGATGCAATTATTTATTGGAAGAGTTTATAACATCATTAATAACATGAATAGATTGTTTATAGGCAGTTGAGAGTGGAGATCTAAACCTAAAGTGTGACCAATAGTGCTTGATCACTGTAACTTTATATCACACCATTTGTCAAAGATTACGCATATAGGCTACATTCCAGATGTTATAAAAACTATCACACATCATCTGCATGTTTATAGAATGGAACCCCTTTCTAATTATACAAGTTTTTTAAATGGTCAGGAGAATTTATACTGTAAGTGTACCATGTAAGCAACTGTCTTCGAATCCAGATGTAGTAAAAACCTGCGTTCTGATATGTTGTTCCAGTTCCAGATTAATCAGGATACTGATGTAATGAAGGTTAATCCTTTTTATCGGTTCATTTGCTGAATTTGCTGATATAATTCCAAAATCAGTCAGCAAACCTTTTAGAAAATATGTTGAAACTTCTCTAAACACGCACCCCCAGGACCTGACAGTTTCTCCACCGGGGAAATCTGTTGGCCCATGGGGCGTCAATATTGTAGTGAGCAGGTCTCTTCCTGTTGGCAAATAAACAGAAGCACACTGCAATGCTATTTGATAACCATGCATGTTTTGTGTGTGGAGGGTCATCTACCATGCATGATTTTCTGTAAGTCATGCATTGTAGATGAGCCTCCACATACAAAGCATGCACCGGTGTGCCCCTTACCATTTCCTTAACAATCCCGCCTTCTGCTGTTATTGATACTGTCATTGGCTCACGCTAAGCAGTGTAACCCACACTTCCTTGGCTGCACTCTTAAAAGACACATTTCAGCCATGGAAATAGTGACCCAGAACAAAGTGAGCCAGGGCTGGTGGCCGTAAGGAAACTGTGCAGGGCCACGCCACGATAAGAAGACATCTGGCTAAGTAAAGTCATGCCGGACGGTTCATGCACCACAGCTGGACTGCCCTGTCGTAAGAGCAACGGAGTGCTGTGACTACAGGAGACAAAGCCAGAGTGAATCCAGGCCTGTGCTGCAGGCGGACTTTTGCAACAGCTCAAAGCACTTTTTCCTGGGTTTTTGGTTCTCTTCTGTCAATAAATATTGGAAAACACACCACTTGCACCTGGGTAAACATGGGTATATTGCTAGAGAAGGAGCAAACACTCACGAAATGCAGCAAAAGTATCTCTGTCTCTTTTAAAAATATGTATTTTCTTTTGGTGTCATATATCCCGTGGCAGAAGTAGAAATCTCTGTTTCTGGAACACCGCAGGCAGCTACTGAATTTTAAGAATCACTGCAGCTCCCAAAGAACCGATACAGTGCTGCCGAGTTCTACAGATGATACCCATTCCACAGTGATAGGACATGACTGGAAAAAATAAAGTGGATGCTAAAGGCAAAGAGCTTGATTCCTTTCAGATATGCCCCAAAGGTAAAGGAAACAGCAAGCACAAACAGGGGTTAAAATGCCAGAGAAATGAGGACAATGCCTTCCATACAGATACATTTTACATACTGTATACACAGGAGCAGCAAGTGTAGCAGAAAGAATAGAAAAAGACAGGAGGGTGGCTATGACTATATTCTGTGGTCATTATCTTTGACTGCTAGTGAGTAACAGAAAGAAGAAAGCAATGGAAGACCCGGACAACAAACTGACAGGACGTTTGCAAACATCTCACACAAGAACAGAGCTGTCAATGAATGGAAAGCAAACTCTGCCTGACAAACAAATACATACAGCACATAAATAAATCACGGCTGACTCACAGCAGAGTTTGGGAAAGTAAAATTTTCCTACAGCCCTTCGGCTTTGGAAGTTTATTCCGCAAAAGAACAAGAGTCAACAATCACAATCCTCCCACCCCGTGTCATCAGTCATCTGTACAGCCCCATCCCTGGCAGGCTTAGTGAAACCCCAGAGGCACACGAGCGAGATCATTTCAATGACCAGCAGTGTGCAACTGGCTTAGAGGCATGAGGCTGCTGCCTGGAAAAAGCTGATCCATCTAGATTGCGAATCAGAAATCATTACCCTCACTCCACAGCCTGCACCTTTCATGACTCTGCCCTGCTTTGCAAAGAAGCCATTGGTACTGCTGGAAAAAAGTCCGCAGTATAACAACGACAGGGTCAGCAGCTCTTAAACAGCAGAAGCACACACTGCTCTGTTTATCACAGCCACCAACAGGCTGTCCGTGTTTCCTAAAAATAATCTCTCACTGCTACAAAAAAGGATCTCCAACAAACAGCCCAATTAATGTATAGTTTTGTAAGAATCTTCAAGGCCCATTTGCTTCATTATTTTACTTCGCACTTGCAGAAATGCAGTAGAAAGACTGGAAGCTCTGTACTTTCCATCCTGGTGAAGATCAACTTCAGATTGAAATAATCATCTTGTTGGAAAGGTAGTTAAAAATGCAACCAAGACAGGTTTTTGGCCACGTAGCAAAACCACGTGGCTTGTGCAATAATCTCAACCCCCACTTTTTAAAATGGGTCCCTGGTTGGCTGCCTTGCACCCTCTCACCTTGCCGTGCTGGCCCAGTCTTTCATAGCAGACCACTGCGTCCTCCCACATCTCCAGGGTCTCGTACAGCTGCAGGGCGGAGCTGGTGCAGCCCAGGTCGGTCAGCAGGCTGGCGAGCTGCCGCTGTGGACGACGTCACAGGAGAGTCGCTCAGCACAGGTGAGAACACAAACACAAGAGCGCCCCACTCACACCCGCTGAGTAATTCAACACTGGCCTTCAGTCACAGGTGACATCATCACCTGCATTCTGACGAGCACAATGACGGCCTTTTGATTTAGGGCCACTGTTTTGCGACAGCATGCGCCATACAGCAAGAGAATCAGAGGAAAAACAGAAAAAGGCTTATGGGTGAAAAATGATTGAGAAAACAAAGGTTGTTTTTTCAGCATGAATAACAGAAATTAATTCAGGACGGTTTTTAATTGCAGTGCATCAAGACACTGTTTACACTTTGTGAAAATGGAAACGATAAACAACATCCCTCCCACCTTCATCTACTTCAGCCATGATCCCAGTGCACTGAATTCAGCTCCTTTCAAACGCTGTGGCCTCTAGACCTTTAGGCACCTACACTACAACACTCTAGAATGACTTCACCAGCACCTTCACCCTGAATGGCAAGAGCCAAGTGAAGATTTCTCTTGATCCAGTGATACACCATATGCTTAGCTTCCCCACAACAGTACCTCCACTCAGCTGAAAATTTGAACACTTCTGACTTTTAGAAAGTCAGTAAAAAATGCAATTCCTGGAAATTTAAAAGCGGAAAAGAACCAGACTATGGGAACAGTTAAATGGATATATTTTGGTTCCATTAATCAAAAACAAATCTAAAAGACAAGACAAATCTTAAGTGTAAGCCAAGCTCTCATTGTAGCCTAACACGTAAAAAGAAAACGAACATGAATACATCAATAGCACACAGTAATTATTACCTAGTTTAAGGGACTGGACCCACCTACCATAGAGTACAAGAGCCCAGTGTGCCTGTTAAATTTCCCTGTAGACTTTATGAGTGTGATGAAATGGAAAATGTCTGCTTCTATTTTTTTCTCAGTGATACTGTAAGTGTTTTGTATGGAGGCTCCAGGAAGTCTGCATACTTACCTTGTACTGTACTTCTGAAACATATAGGTCAGTGTACCGTATTTTTCTTTCATTTCGAAGGCAGTAATAAAATATCAGAAAATATAGTTGACAGGACTCACACCTCACACAAAGCACAGACTGCACAGGATGTTCATTCAGAATTTTCTTGCAACCAGGTTCATTAAACAATAAACACTCCAGGCGCATGAAAATCATCTCAGATCAATTAAACCAAAAGGGAAGATCTACGGAAATTAATTCTAAACAAATAAACCTCCCAGCAGCCCTTGGCATCATTTGACTGCTTTTCAGTCAATTTTCATTGAATTATTTCTCCAGCCATCATCACACAGTATATTGGAAGAAAATTGCAGGTTTTGACCCTACTTTATCGGTGTTAGGCAGGTTCATAAAATTAATAAGGACTACTTAAATGAGCTTGGAGTTCCTGACTAAATGAATGAAAAAAGTCCAGATGCAGTAACATATTTCAGCACGCATGCTGCACTTTCTCAATACTCCTGCAATAAAAAAAAAGATAAAGATGTCTGGGGTAAGAGATCACATTCACAAATCCCCCAGAAAAAAATGAGAGCTGCTGCTGTTTGTAAACATTAACTGGCTTTACATAAAGCCTCAGAAAAATGATATCTTTGTTATCTTTGAAAAGGAAGACAAATACCCTGTTTCAATCAGGACAAAATATCGATATTAAAGAGCAAATCCAGAGCAGAGCAGTAAGTTGACTGAATGTGTTCTCCTAGTCCAGAAAAATCCCCATTGCCTTCTTCCTCGCAATACTTGATAGTTGGGTATTTCCAGATTTCCTCTGAGCTCTGGTTTATTGTACAGATAAGGAATTTTAACTACTTCCAGGCCCTATTCCAATCCCCAGGCAAATGCAATCCTTCAACTTCCAATATTTAAACCCACGAAAGGCAAGAAGTTCAGAGGATGCCTGCATGTGGAGTCCTGCCTGGACCAGTGATGATAAAGGCGGCGCAGTGAGAGGAGGTACCTGGAGGGCCCACCGTGGAGGCACCTGGCTGCAGTAGAACACCTTCAGACGTTCCACCACGGGAGTCTTCTTCTCTTCAAAGTGATCCACCAGAGTCTAAAAGGCAAGAGACACCACCAGGCTCTCAGCGTGGAAGCAAAGCAGTCGGCACAGTGAACGCTGTCCTTAAACCCTAACCACCAAGGCCAAACGTGTCTCCTTTAGTGCATGTGTGATAAACTGCACCGGACACAGTAAAAGCAACAGAAATACTCTCATTGATCAGAAACAAAGTGTTTCAGCAATCCTACCCATCACTTCTTCAGAAACAAACATCGGCTTTCTGGACGTCACATACTGTTTGGTTATTTTTTTTCATTTTGTTCTACAGGCCCCAGGTTGAAGTCAACACATTTTCACCCAAGAGCTCAGACTTCAATTTTTATTTTTTTCTGGTTCGTCTCACAGCAGCTCTTGTCATCACACGATGCTTAACGCCGAATAAGACAAACCAACATCAGGTCTCCTTAAACTCTGCAAGAGGCACCTTCGATGTCGTTGCTCCATGAGAAGCAGACATCAAGGTTCAACAGAGCACACGAGGAGAAAAAACGAGACAGGGCTGCAGCCTGAGAGTAAAATGTCCAATCAGCTAAAAAATGTCAGCTACATTAAGAGGACTGCCTCAGTGAGGGAATCCAGCCAAAGTGTGCAACTAAATCCAGAAATGCGAGTCATTCCTCACCAGTAAAACGCTAAAAAAATGTTAAAGTATTAGAACAGGGCTTTGATCATTAGTCAGATTAACAGTTTCGCCTTTTTACCAAATGTTTTCTGAGCACGTCACAAAGGTTACAGCATTAGATGTCTGACATGAAAGATCATTGTGGCCCACCACTCAGGCCGTAAATGCAGTGTGACTCACGGTATTCGAACAGCTCCCTGTGTAGAGCAGATGGGAGCAATAAAGACCGACTCCAGCTGCTCCGGTCAGGGAAGTGCACCTGCTGTTCACCTGCCTGGCAGCACGTCCCTCCCTGAGCCGGACACATGCGATGCCCCCGTTTGGGCACGACAGACTCCACAGGCCCGAACCCGAGGCACAGTCCTGGCTGCCTTTCCAAACTGTTAACGGGACTGAAAATCTGAGACATTTGAGAAATTCCAAGCAGGACGAGATCTTTTTTTTTGTCTAGTCTTTCATCAGTCCCGAGGATTTTACTCGGCCCTTACCAGACACTTTTGTTTTTGGCAGAAATGAAAGAAACTGCAGCCAGTGAACTCCCGCGGTTAGCAGAAAGGAAGGACCAAACACTTACAACATGTGCGGAATTGTCCTCTGTTAAAAAGGGCCAACTCAGACAGCAGGAGTTTATACTGTGGTTTCATTCTACTCATTCAAAGTTTCACATCCTGTGCTTTTTTTCTGAAAATCTATTCATAGTGATTACATGTAGATATGGCCATATTTGTCAATGGCAAGGCTAAATCTAAAGACATGCATCAGATTAGGACGTTATACAAATGCAATTTCATAAAAAAAATATAATGTAAAAAACAAAAGTTTAATTAGCAAAAATACATGGTAAAATTCTTCATTGTTCAATTTTTTTTAGTTTACAGTCCTACAAATCTGCAACTGCATTATCATTTTTAGCTTAAATATCCATAACAGTCCCAGAAGTTAAAATTAGGCCAGAGTAAGGTTTGACATATTAGCTCTGGAGAAGAATTAACTCATTTCTCAGTAGCCAAGAATAGGGCAGGGGTATTATATCAGAAACCATGAATGTTCCACATCTATTACTGGGGAAGGAGAAATTTAAACAAATTGCAAGTAAATACCTTTACAATAGAGGCCTTAAACTAATTACTTGACTATGCCACACAGCCACGGGGAGACAAAAAAGACAGGACTGCCTTTCACCTAACAAAGACTCAATACATTTTGCAACACATTTACATTTTTAATTATAAAACATTCTTTGTATCCAGAGGGAAACCAAAATACCACTTGTGGTACAACATTTACAGGAATGCCCTATTCCAGACTGGGAATAAATAAAGTTCTCATGAGCTCTCAAAACCTCTAGATTTGTAAGTAATATACTGTAGCTAGTCACAAACAAACCAAAGATTTTAACAACTCTGGCATGATGATCACTTGGATTGGCTAATTCCCTTACAAAGGGAATTAAATAAATTTAAAATGTATAATAAACCAATTAAATAAATAACTTTCTGTTGTAGTTTCCTTGAATATGCCAGCTCGTAGTCTCTTTTTTTGGCTAAAACTAATGTCTGTAAGGCATCAGATTACTAAAACATCAGCCACTGTGCAAACTAGTGACAAGAAATCTTGTTTACAAAAATGTCCATTTCCATTTTTATTACGTCATTCTCTTGTGTTTCTAAGTCTAAGACAACATGATACCCTTGAAAAACAGTTAAAAATATGTTCAATAATCCTGGATCTTAACATCTGAAATCAGTGGAAGAAAAGCCATGTTGAGGTTCATGAACGTATCCATAATGCATAACAGTGTAAATGAGGCTAATGAGGATTTGTTAGTAAAATGTTAATCTTGCCAGAATCCCATAAGAGCTTAGAAGTAATTTGCTTTTTAGGTCAGTGGTGAGCCCTGTCTGACCTCAGATGTAATTTATAATAATAACTTTATTTTTATGTGCTGCCTTTAAAAGCGGCTTCTCGAAAAAAAATCTACACAGTGAGAGGGGAGAGTAGATGGGGGTTTGGAATACAGAAGAAAGGCAAAGGGGCAACCAGGGGATAAATAAAAACCCTTCTAAAAACACGTTTTGAGCCTAGATTTGAAAGAGCTCAGGGGAGGGGAGTGGAACGATAGTACTGTAGCTGCTTCCTAGTTGAGCTGCACCTCAGAAGCCACAGAAGCACAAGCAGCTCAACCAGACAGCCCAGCTCATATATGCCTGCATGTTCCCCCATGGAAACAAGGTACAACAAGGTTCCTGAAGAGGCAGCCGTTATCCAAGTGTACGTCTTAAGGAAAAGGGGGGGTTACTGGTCTGCTAGAAGACCAGTGAGCAGTCAGCAACGTGATGCTCAAGGAGCCCTTTGTAGGTTTTATAACAATCTTATGGGATTGAAATGTTAAGTTACATGGGTGACCTTTACAGTACATTGGCCAACATTGACACAATGCACCATTCCCCTAATGTCCCTTCCTCCCCATCCCCAGTCCCACAACAAGCAACCTCTTTGTAGAAATGCTGGGACAAGCCCATAGAACGCAGACAATAATAAAGTCTTAGTGTTATTAATAATACATTAATAACACTAAGAGGAACAACAGAATACACACAAAATACTCCAGGAAAACACGAGCATCTAAGAGGAAGTGTTGTAGTAGCTAATCCATACCAATCAAATTTTATTGATTCATCGTCAGGTGTTCCTCTTCATTAGCCGTATTTGTTGCTTTCTACACACCTATAAATCTAAAAGTTACTTTTTTATTCCTAAAACAAAATAGCTACAGCATACTGTACATCCAGCTCAAGATATACAGCAGATAGACAGATCTGTTTCTGCTTAAAGAAGGAAAAACAATGAATGTAAACCTGCACAATGAAAAATTTCTACAGTTTGTGCACAACAATGTATACACACATGTAAAAAGCATTTACTATTTGTTTCCAGAAGTGTTCTTTTTTTTACTGCAAGAACTCGTTCTCTGAAAAGGGCAGACTGTTTCTACAGTGAACACTAATTTAGACAGTTGTGCATTTCTCACACACGATTCTAAGGATGTTTCCCTTTCAGAGAAAGTGTAGGAAAAGCTGAAATACTGCACACCAGAGAACCATGCACAAATCAGTGCAGACTGACAGATCTGACAGATTTTAGACTTCTAAAAGCTCAACAAGATCTATTCTAAAGCCGAGCATTTCAAAATCCAAAAGTATCACAAACCCGTGAATCTTTTATGAACTTCTGCCTTTGTGCTCGTGGGGAGTCATGCAAGCAAGGCGTACGTCGTGCGAAATGCAAACACAAACAAAAGGTTGTGAGGTCTACGGCTCTCAGCAACTGCACTGCAGGCCTGTGTCTGTTCCTGAACTGGAGGCACACAGATTGATTGACAGCTTCCACTTTCTAGTGGGGCAACTCTGTTTCACTTGACCTGTGACAGACTGTTGATTAAAACATTCACCTGTTAACTGTATAAAGAGCTCAGCAGTTTTAACTGTCTAATTTAATTATGGTTTACTTACTCAACCGTGCGATGTATACCACGATGTAGGTCTACTCTGACCTCAGTCAAAGCCAATTCATCAACAGAATGACTTGTCTTTAATACAAACTTTCAAAAACCTTCTCATTAATTTCCCCGGTGAAACATATCACACATGTCAAGAATGAAACTATTATCGCCGCTGATACGAGGGAAGGGGGAGGAGCGATATTATAAAGGAATAATCACAGTCTGATGTCTGTTGGCGGCAAACAATTATCCCTTAATTAGAAGACAGTCAATGAAGGCCAAAGTAATTAGATAGAAAAGAGGAGAAAAGAAACAGTAAAAAGTGAAAGAAACGAGGCACATAGCCACAATAATGTTAGCGACCATTTTCGATATTGAGCATACTGGCCTGGACAATTCAACTCATCCATTAAAAGCATTATGAATCTTTCATCAGAGATCAAAAGAGCCTTTTTTTCCTCTAACCAAAGTGTCACACATCAATAGTAGTCACTCTTTCCCCAACTTAGCAAGACTGAGGAACCTAAACTGAAGTAGCTTGGGCACACTGAGGGACGTGTACGTACTGCATGTGCATCTCAGTCAGGACAAGTAGACTTCCACAGTGGGGCAAGATGGAGGAACCTTGTGCAACTCTGTCCAAATGATTATTTATCGTGTACAGACTGAGCAGACGAAGGAAAAAAACGTCAGATCTGGTAAGTTATTTCTTGAGAGAGAAAAATGAATCAAGAAATAAAAGTTAAAAAAACCCTCTAGTAGCACTCAAAGTATGCCCCTGAGTCACTGAGCTAGGCTATCCAAACATGGGAAGACCAACGGAGTTCAGCTGGAAAACTATTATAAGAAAGTGCAGATCAACTAGGAGATTGAGTGAATTGGAAGGGGGGGTTATTACATTTTAGAATTTATACAGTAGAATGTTTACACAAGAGAAATTCAAGCCTTCCAGTCGAGTAATTACACAAAAATGAAAATTACAGGCATTTTTCCCCAACCGTAATTTAACTTTAAACTGTGACAAAGGATGTCAACTGTCAAGCAATGATAAAAAAAAATACATAAAAGCATGCGTAATCTGTTCCGATCCTGCATTCCCTGAGGAAGAGCCCATTAGACTCCGTTAGATATTCAAACCATTGAGGAACCTGCTGAAGACAGCAATTCTAGCTAAAACATCACACTATACAAACATAAACCAGACGAGTCCCGCTGGACTTAACACAGTGAAGAGATCAGTGCTCCTAGAAACATTAAAGATTTTATTTTTTGGTAAACGAATTGTTGCAGCTGAGGTAATCGAAGTTAAAACACGCCAAAGAAGACTAGCAAAGCAAACCTTTTTGGGGGGGGGTTTAACAGATTGTGTAGGCATTCGCTTCCTTAGGAAATTATTTTAAATTTAAATGTATCAACTTTCATTTATTGTAAAATAGTAAGAGTTAATTACTTATCAGGAAAAATTAATTAAGACTGTTTCAAAATACAGTTACAAGTATTCTATAATCAAAAATCATCGGATCACTAAAAAATACATACTGTACAATATAGCGAAAAACTTGCGGACTTCAAAAAAGCAAATGAGCAAAGGCTCTGTACAAGGCACGTATACAATGTACCTTATTACAGTCTTTCTTAAGAGCCCCAAAAAAGTTGCTATGAATTATGGTTTTGGGAACACTATAAAGCAGGACTATGTAAAAAGACATCTAATTGCTCTGCATAGGCGCAAGTCCTTTTGTTAATAGTTTTAGCCTTTGTCATTTTTTTCATTCCACTATGAAAAACCTTTGTTTCTAAAGCAACCTTGAGACATGGAACGACAGAAAGCAGCAGCTAATGTAACAGCAGTACTACAGTAAAGGTACAAGTAAATAGGTTTATTCCATGCTGAACAGAGAAGAAAGAAAACACAACGTTTCGGCCGTGGAGCTTTCTTCAGGTGCGAGACACCTCAAGAAGGTTCCACGGCCAAAACGTTGTGTTTTCTTTCTTCTCTTTCCAGCATGGAATAAACCTATTACTTGTTTCTTTGCAGCCTATGCATGCTGACGCAGCTGCCCACCTGAAGCACCACAGTAAAGGCTCACTGCCCTTTGTGGTTCTTAATGTGCGAACGGTGATTTGAGATAATTTGCATCCCTGCTTTGGATAAAGTAGTTAGAAAGTGGATGAATAGATCATAGTAAAATTCGTAATTAAAAGATTTTTCTCTGTGTTAAGACTGAAGAGTTGCACAACATGTGACCTCTCAAACCAAAACCCTGAGCTCACACTGACTTAAGCACATCTTATATAGGCAGACCCCACTCATTAACCGCATGTGCACATCCAACATTCCAGCCAATTATATAATTAATGATGCGTGAACTATTTACAACAGGTGTGAGCTGCAAACTCTTCATACTGCCTAACTGGCATTTTGGCAGCCCCTAGTGGCCACCCCCTGTCACTACACCCCTTCGGCCCCAGTCACAGGGTGCGATCGGCCATCCGCAGAAATGCTAAATTGTGCATGGATATTGTTGTCAATATACCTTAAAACTAAACTGTAAATCTGGGTATGGTTTTCTAGTACGAAAATAATATGGGCATATGTCCAAATACAAGATAAAATTTGAAAGATGTGTGTCCAGGTAAACTTGACTAATCCTAGGTTGTTGCAATATGAACTTAATACAAAATAAATATTTATGAATATTACATTCAACAAGTATTAAATTAATATTGACGTAAAATAGCAACAAGTATTAAATTAATATCAATTCAACAAGCTTGGACTTCTACAATACACAAAATATTGATATGAGAGTGTCTTAAGGTTAGGGTCACCGTAAAGACATACCGTATGCACCAGTTATGTCTTTAGCAAAAGGGTTAAGAATGTTATGTAACATTTATGAAAGGTTTATACTGGTTACACAAGACTGCATTCAAATACAGCTCACACAGCTTTTTTCCTGTGCTCTGAAGGAATAACATATTCGATCACACTACGGTCTGAACTTGAATTCATTCAGAACTCCACAGTTACAAGATTGTATGCCTGTTTTATTGTCTACATCTGCCGTTCCCGAATCTGCCACGGCGCCCCCTGTGTCAGGATGTGGGTACTGCACCGCCGCCGGAGACTCGGCGCGCCGCAGAGACACCGGGCTTTGCTCAGAAAACCACCGGTCTAGACTGCCTCCCAGGAGGCTCAGGAGGGTCACCGCCATAGCAGCAGGCACTGAACTAAACAAGGGCCGCCTGAACAACCTGCAGCGTCCTACTCTGCTGCAGCGAACGGTGATGACAAACACCCTGCAGGGAACGCTGTTTGAAAGCATCAGCTGCAGGTTGTTCGAGCGAGCTGAATGCCCAGACAGGCATGCCATACTAATTTTCACCTAATTTGTACTTCATCAGTTATTGACGGTGGCATCCTTCGCCTACAACATACCACCGTTACCTATGTGGACGTTCACGCACTTAAATAAATGTGTTTCCTTCTAAAGAACGTGAGAAAGATGTGACAGGAGGCCATTGGGTCCATCCAGCACGTTTGGTAGCCAGGTGTTCACTGGCTCAAGGATCTCATCCAGCCCCTTCCTGAAAGAAACAAAGGCCGAGGTATCGGCTTCCACAACCCGGCTGGGCAGCGTGTTCCACACTCCCACAACCCTTTGGGTAAAGAAGTGCCTGCAGCTCTTGGCCGGTGAAGAGGTCCCCCGGGGTGGGTGGGCTATGTCGATGCCTGAGAGGAGCGCGAGGGCATACCTGCGTCTGCATCATGGCTCTCTCCACCCGGCGCGAACTCCCTCGCTCCAGCCTCGTCCTCAGGGTCAGGGCCGCCACCTCGATGGCCCAGAACTTGGGCTGGGACAGCAGGCGCTGAGACACAAGAGACACCGATTACCTGGCTGCAGGAGCGACGCGTCTGACCTGTAACCCGTTCTCTTCGGCTGCCCCTGAAGGAAAGGCAGCACTCTCCCAGCGTGCTCCTAACTGTCCGGAAGGAAGGAAGGAATCTCTCTGCCTGCAGTCTGATTAGTTCACTACAGTGCCTTTTCACAGCAGGCTGTAACTTAATGACTACATGGGTTTAATGATATACGTCTTTACACAATTGTCAAATCTTTCCAGCTCTTTACAAAATCCACCCTTCACCGGAGAAACCCAATGTAACCTATATTACAAAACACAGATCCAAAGCTGAAGGGCTGCAGTGATTATTCTTCCACATTTAACATTAATTTCCATCATGATAGCAGCAGCAGCAAAGCAAAAATAGTTATAATCTCAGTTTTTATTAATAATTATTCATACATTATTTATAAGGTTACATGCATTCTTTAATGCAACAGGAAATTTAACTTAACCTTAAAAAATAATCATTTTTCCAGCTACACCAAATTACTGCAGCTTGCAATAATTCTGTCTAATACTTAGTGTTGTGGCCACATTAGGATTTTTGACATTTCAGTTTGGTTTGGAGCTGGAAACAGTTAGCAGTTCATGCGCATGATGTAATGGAAAATTGAAAGAAAACAAAATAAAATAATTAAAAAATAAAATAAATCATAAGATGATATGATTCCTGGGGGGGGGGGGGGGGAGCCACATTGTGAACTCCACAACAAAAAACGTTAGTTAAATCTTATCTTTCCTTTTTCAAAAATAACCACCATTTCATTACTGCTGTCAAAACAGCCAGTGTTGGTGTTGATCAAAGCTGCACAGAGGAAAAACAAGACATTTGCTTCGTGACACCTCCACGATTTATTCCAAAAGCCTGGTGCAAAGTATTACAGCTCTTAAAGAAATAATTCTATAAAGTAGCAAAGGCTACATACTAGATCACTTGGAGACAACAAAGCCCGATTCTGAAGAAACTGCTGTTATCTGGAGCAGTTACCCCCTCGGTGATTCCCGTTCAGAACTGTTCCACCGTCTAGTTCAGGTTCGTCACATCAGCCGGCAGAACACAAATGTCAAACTCAGTTGCAGAAGAAGCCATGGATCTAGTGCTGCATTAAATCTGCTTAACTGAACAGGTGTAATGCCTGGAATAACCCGGAGAATCATCCCGTGACGCCTAAACTACACTCCGTAGTACAGAGTTCTGATGGCATGGAATTACATTTGTGGTGTACATTCCCGAAAAGTTTCAAGATTACCGCTCGCATTTTTAGAAAGGAAATAATAATGACAACTTGTCTGACTGTGAAGTCTGCGGTTTAAGGAGGCAGCCTGATGCTGCCGTCATGAATGGAAACAGAGTCCACCCTGTGCACAGCTCATCCTGCTGATGGGGCAGACGTGTCTGAGGAAAGGCTGGTATCCACAAATCAACAGGACATGACCTTTTGTGGGCAGCACTGCTGGCTCGCAACGCTGGGGGCCTGTGTTCAGTTCCTGGGGTGCTATCCACACGGAGTTTATATAGTCTCGCAGTGCTCACTGGGGTTTCCCTCAGAGGCTCCAGTTTCCTCCCACAGTCCAAAGACATGCTAGTAGGTTAATTGGCTTCTGGGAAAACTGGCCCTGGTGTGAGTGTGTGTCTTGTGATGGACTGGCGTCCCGTCCACGGTGTGTCCTGCCATTCGCCTGGTGCTCATGAGCGGTGAGAAAATCAAATGTGTGAACAACTTTCACAAAAAGGATTCATCTTCTAAAAAGAGCACAAGCAAGAAGAAATACATGGCATCCATAAATTTTATGAACCTATTAAAAACTTTAAGCATCAAAAACATGGTATATGCTGTCTCCATTGACGACTTTCATATCCATCTGGCATAACAGGCCTTAATAAATTAGGTATTACCTCTAATCCGGGCATGATATGGAAGAACACTTTCACATCATCTAGAAACAAGGCACATCAGCTTATCCATTTAAAACACGTCCATAGATTTTACCCTACACCACTCAGGAGGGTACAGACGAAAATGATCAAACAACCTACTTGTCAGGTTTGTGCTTCTGGGGTGATGGAACACATCTGTACATGTGCTTGAATATTAATACATTTTGGTGGTGTGTGGGATCTACAGGGAGGTGTAGCGAGGATCACAGTGCCCCTGCCCCCAGAGGAGCTCTTGTTGGTAAAAGTCTTTCAGCTAACATTGTCAGTACAGTAGAGGTTTTTCTGGTAGGGATGTCAGCTAAGGAGATGTTTTAAAGGGTTGAGTCTGTTCTCTCTTTCTCTTCTGCTTGACTAGGCCATTTTTATGACATCTAGACACAGAGGACCCTTGGAAAGCAGCACTGTTATGTAATGTTCTGTGAAGGTTTGGTTTTAGTGTTCTTCGCTGTACTCAGTACCGCGTCGCATTTGGTGATGTTTTCCCCTGCTGTGTATTTTCAAACATATTTGCAGGGATTATGCAACTATTGTATATGCACTCCCCCTCCTCAGGGTCAGGGTGTAAAACCAAAATTAAAAACTACTGTTCATAAGAAGGCAACATGAAATCCACAAATATGGACAATTACCATGATTTCTTAATCAGGTTTCTGGAATATATGAAATTCTGGAACCGACGCAGTTAAATCCAGAGGTTTTTATTTGTTTATATTTTTATAAATAAACCAAGCGTCTGCTTTTGAAAGTCAAATTCGCTGCCCAGTCCTATCATTACTGAAGCCCCTTCCAAGCAGAACAGCAATCAGGCAGGGGAGCAAAAGCTACAGCAGGCTTGTAATGAAAACCCAGAGGCCTGGCAGAGGGAGCAAGCTTTCTGAATGGGCTCTTCCTGGCCATACACACCGAGAGGCAAAATCCCACCCCCCACCCCCCTCCTCGTTAAGCTGATGTATGGAGTGGTCACACAGCCTGATTTTACTCAATCGCAGAATGTGCCTAATCTCACAAACAAAAAAAAAACAGTCAAACAACAGAATGTCTCTTGCGAAAAAACATGTTTTTGACTGACTGCATGAAGTGAATGGAGCAAAGTGGAGGAGGCCATCACATGACGAATTCGGTCTCTGCTTATCACCCAGAAGACGCAACTGATTTCCCCTTTAGCCCATGTTAACGTCCAGGAATTCCCTCTCAATTACTCAAGTCTTCCTCTGAGACTTTGGGATCACTACATTTAGGAGACTTGCCCAGAAGCGCGTCTGTCAAATGTACTGTTTTGACAATAGTGGCACATCTCTCATCACCCAAGAAGATGAGCTGAATAAGGAATAAGTCCCCGTTTTGTTCCAAGTGTTTGACAAATGCCTCCATATTTGTCTGAATGCAGAATGCATGATCACTGAAACAAACAGAGTCTATGATTGACAGCAGTTTTATAAGTCTTCCTTTAATGGGATAAAATGTGTTTTTCTTTATGATGGTGTTAGAGACAGATGACAATCAAAAGGCACTATTAGACCTAAAAGTAAAATAAAATCTGGTCTACGCTGAGGATGGCATGTGTATATTACTATCCTTGCGTTTATGATGTTCTTTACAACCCAAAGGATCCCGAAACGCTTTACTGTATATATAGAAGGGGGCCCACTTTATTCACTGCAGAAGCACAGAGCCCACATGGGTGACACACTGCAGCCATGAACCCGCCAGCAACTCCACTACACAGCAGACCAGAAGACATCCGAGTAAAGGGGCGCTGAGGGAAGAGCGCTGGTCTACAGACACCAGCTGCGATGTGGAAGTGTAAGAGAAGGATGAAACAGCCAGAGGGCCCCGGGCCCTCCTTTAGATACAAACCTCACGTCAGTGAAGGTGAAGATAAAGAAGTGTTACATCAGAGTAAAGGTATCTCCATAACTGAACAAACAATACTCTTAAGGAAATTCTATCATTTCCTTCCTGAGACTACACAACATATCACAGACGTCCCTCAAGCAAAGTGACACGCCTGGAATAAATGATTTCCAGAACTGACGAAATTCATTAATATTCCTCGCTCACACTCATTTCCTCCCTGTTACATATTCCCCAGCTGGCTTCGCATGGCCTGCAGCTACTGCCTGAACACGCTCAGCTTGATAAGAAGCAGGCACGTTGGGGAAAACCTAGGGCATCTGGAGCGAGACAAGTGTAAAGTGAGACTTTTCTACTTTTTGCCAGAAATCCTGCACGGGACTACAGCTTCACCGCGGGCGCAAGATCCACTTCATGAAATACAAAATAAACTATCCAATTCTGCACGGGGCTCCTAAATGTGTTAGTTATAAATGTAAATACACAGTTAATTTTAGATCATCAAAGACTGAAAGTTCAAGTCGCGTCACGATGGTTATCTGCTACCTGCATTCCTTCAAACAATGCCTCTCAAGAGTGAGCAATAGTTTCTTACAAGTGTGGCGCTTTTTCCCCCCCCTCAAGAGCACACAGCATTGTGGCTGCACTCTTGAAGAAAGCAAACACTCCAAGAATAAACCAAGCTTATATAACCATGCTTTCATTTCAGATTTGATTGAGTTAGGTGATGTCATCGGTGAAGTTGTCACAGGTCCACAGATAAAAGGACAAAACACTTTATTATCCACAACTAACATGAAAAAAGAAATATTTCACACACACAAAAATACATCCCCTCAAGGCTGAAGCCCTGTAATAAAATGATATTTCCCTCTCTGTGACGATTAAAGGCATAGGGGCCGATTCAGAGGTCTGACTACAGTGCAACAGTGCAAAGCCGACGGTTGCCAAGTGAAACATTCTGTCATACAGTCCATCGATCATGACTTAATGCTCCCGAGACAGACTTGAATTAAGAGTGAGCGCCAAGGTTAAACAACAAATTTAAATAGGGCGCTGTTCACCTATCCGGAAAGTTACTGCTTCATATAATCCCACTCGGCATCTCCTGCAGACAGGGAATCCATGGAAACTGGCTCCACAGGGGAGCCTTGTGCTGACGATGACACAC